AGACGGCAGTAGTATTGTATGCCAGGTGAGCCTAAATACTGCAATTGTGGTTGCGAACATGCGCCCGAATTCTTGAAATGCCCTGTTAGGGTGAAGGAGACAGAGGTGGCAAGAATAATGTCTCCTATCCGGAGGCGGTGAGAAGAGTGGAAGAAAGGTGTGACGTTGAACAAATAATGGTAGTAGAGGTAGAGACACCAGTGAAGTGCTTTGAAAGGCTGGTCATGGCTCACATCAACACCATCATCCCGGAAACCCTAGACCCACTCCAATTTGCATACCGCCCCAACAGATCCACAGATGACGCAATCTCAATCGCAATCCACACTGCACTTTCCTCACTGGACAAAAGGAACACCTATGTGAGAATGCTGTTCATAGACTACAGCTCAGCGTTCAACACCATAGTGCCCACAAAGCTAATCACTAAGCTAAGGACCCTGGGACTAAACACCTCCCTCTGCAACTGGATCCTGGACTTCCTGACGGGCCGCCCCCAGGTGATAAGGGTAGGCAACAACACATCTGCCACGCTGATCCTCAACACGGGGGCCCCTCAGTGGTGCGTGCTTAGTCCCCTCCTGTACTCCCTGTTCACGCACGACTGAGTTTCAAGTTCCTTGGTGTCCACATCACCAACAAACTATCATGGTCCAAACACACCAAGAAAGTTGTGAAGAGGGCACGACAACGCCTTTTCCCCCTCAGGAGACTGAAAAGATTTGTCATGGGTCCCCAGATCCTCAAAAAGGTCTACAGCTGCACCATCGAGAGAATCCTAACCAGTTGCATCACCGCCTGGTATGGCAACTGCTCGACATCCGACCGTAAGGCGCTACAGAGGGTAGTGCGTACGGCCCAGTACATCACTGGGGCCAAGCTTCCTGCCATCCAGGACCTATATACTAAGCGGTGTCAGAGGAAGGCCCAAAAAATTGTCGAAGACTCCAATCACCCAAGTCATAGACTGTTCTCTCTGCTACTGCACGGCAAGTGGTACCGGAGCGCCAAGTCTAGGTCCAAAAGGCTTCTTAACAGCTTCTACCCCCAAGCCATAAGACTGCTGAACAATTAATCAAATGGCCACTCTGACTATTTGCATTGACACCCCACCTTTGTTTTTACACCGCTGCTACTCGCTGTTTATCATGTATGCATAGTCACTTTATCCCTACTTACATGTACAAATTACCTCGACTAACCTGTATCCCCGCACATTGACTCGGTACCCCCTGTATATAGCCTCATTATTGTTATTTTACTGTGTTACTTTTTTTAATTTATTTAGTAAATATTTTCTTAACTCTGTTTGTTGGTTAAGGGCTTGTAAGTAAGCATTTCACGGTAAGGTCTACACCTGTTGTATTCGGCGCATGTGACAAATACAATTTGATTTGATATTCCTTGTCAACAGAGGGACCCTGACATGTTGCATGTTAAGAAGGTGAACTTTGTAGCATTTATTGCATTGGTTATCAACTGCACAAGAAAATCTGAGAAAATAGGCATAGGTGTGAGTGCGGCTGAATAATTTTTTTTTACAGCAGAGGCATTACAAGGAATCTATGAATGCTACGTCCTCACAGGCCCCTGAGCCTGTGTAGGGATGTGATTTGAACTGTGACTGAAGAAGTGGGATGGTTTTTGATTGATTTATCAAAAACCCAGAAACAGTAGGTGGCGGCAATACACCAATAGGTTGTAGTCTGCCATAAAACCTCAAAGAAGATGATGACTAGATGCTTCAAATTTTCACCCCCTGCAATCCATCTGGGTTTCCCCTATCCATCTGTGGTGGTAGTGAATAAAATAATTCCATTGAACTTCCCATGTTGAAAAGACATTGCTGCTGATAGGCCCATACAATGCTGTAATTGTTACTTTGGGCTAGGCTAAATCTTGTCTGATTAATCAGACTGTAATACACAATTCATTGGTATATACAGCCTGACACATTTGAGTGCAAAATCGTGTAGACCTAAATGTCCCTTGCAAGCCAGAAGGTTTAATAAAATGACATTTAAACTTACTCTACCAGTTGTTTGTGCAGTTTGTCCTTCAGCCGCTCGAAACTTCAGACAAATATCCACAGGAAAGTATTGAGCCGGTAGGTGTATGGTTCTGTCGGCTTGAATTTCCGGTGTGTATTGTACCGAAGCATGCAACATAAACACTTGCACAATAAACAATAACCGTGTGTAACCAAACCACAGACTGAACGTTGCTTGCATTCAGCTGGCAGTGGAAAACCTACAGGCTCTCTAAAACGTTGGGTAAACAATATTTTCCTGTGGATATTTTGACTGAAATTTTGAGTGGGTGAAAGACAACCCACACAGACAATCGGTAGAGTAAGTTTAAATGTACTTTTATTCAACATTCTGGTATGTAAGGAACATTTACACAATTTTGAACTCAAATGTGTCTGTTGCCAATTAATTGTGTATTATAGCCTGATTAATCAGACAAGGCTAAATCCTGTGTGACACAACCTGTGTTGAGTCAGAGCCAGGTAAGATCACAGAAACTGTAGCCTTCTAGTACTAGATCCTACCTCCAATACGAGATTCAAACTCAACCCTGCTGCATGACCTACTGAGACTCGTGAAACTTGATTTATCTTAGATTATATGGGCCACCTGGGGCCCACTGCAGCCACCTATACAATAATGTAGGCTATTACTCACTGCTGTAAGTCACTTTGGATAAAATGGCATCCCTAACATCTTCAACACTCTGAATACAGTAATTACAGACCAAGGTCATTTAGCAGTGCATGCCAGCCTTTATGATGTCAGCTAGAGAGCAATGGGCTTCAGTACTGTCTAACATAGGCCTGATAATAGCCTGTTCTTTCTCAAGACAAGAAGACCAATTCATAGAAAAGGGATTTATGTGTGCATATCCCTAACATCTTCATCACCACTTAATGGCTGGTAAGTGAGCCTAACATCAGACTTCTAGTAATGGTGTCTGTGTGTGCACAGGAAGTTGACTAGCACTGCGCAGGCAGGGGGTTGTGTTCTATAGCTAGCTAGTCAAGTTTACCTTTTTAGGATCATCGTAGAACACTCCAATTCTAGACAGATTGGGTCCAATGCTGCAACTCTCAGTAAAAAGTTGTCCACAATCTTTATATGGTCCCTGTTTTAACTTGTAGGCGATTGTGATGTTCTTGATTGGAGGAGAACCAGTCCGGATGTGTATTTCTGACAACAGTCCCGAGTACAGAACGTACACTACAATTGTCACAAAACTCAACAAGACGAAAATTAAACACAAAATTAACCATTCTGACATGATGTATGTCCTACAACGTAGCTTTGGTTGTTGAAACCTTTTCAGCCTTTGCGATTTACTAAAACACAGTCGGGAATTGATTTATGTTGGTAGCTAACTAGCTGGCTTGAAAGCCAACTAAAGCCACAACTACTTTCACAGTTAAAACGTCCGTTAACTTGATAATAACGCTCACATAACGCCATGAACAACGGGTCCGTTCAAATCAAGATTAATTTCCCTAAACAACAAAGACCAGTTGAAAACAACTTCCTGGGATGCACATCTGTGGAGACGAAAGTGGTGTATCGTTGTTTTCCATGACCATTGCTATTCAATATATCAGTCATATAAATTGTTGCTACCGACGTTTATAAAACAGAAAAAATCTACCAATGTGATTTCAAATTCAAACCATATCCCAACGAATAAAATTACTCTCTATAGAAAATTTGATAATCTACGATACACCCCTCTATCTTTTTATCTTGGTCCAATCGATGATTCGGTTTGCTCCGTGAGACGCCACCAGAGGTCAATAAAGCCTCATGGAAGTTGTTACTGGGCAATTTCATGATAACGGAATGAAAAACAAAAACCATTGATTGCAAAGTTAAATAAACCATATAAATATATGCACAATGACTGCTTTTAACAATTTTCCACAGAACATTTTACAAAAACACATTTACTCGAAGAACATATGTGCAGATGTAAAGTTTGGAATCAGAATGACTGTAAAATCTCCCTTAATGTTTTATGTGACCACGTTTTCCAAAACCTTAAATATCTAATCTGAATTAAGATTAAGAAATGTCTGCAGAAAGAAAGGGGTGTCAGCTATGATCAAAACATTTATTTTGGTTATTGAACTACAGTAAGTGAAGTGGATTAACACCCGGTAATGGAATGATGGTAACAGATTTACATAATGGGTCCCTGATCTGTGGGACAGAAATGCATAATTATGAATGTCCTTCTCTTCATGGTGATGTATCCTGAGTAAGTACACAAAGGTAGAAAAATGTAATATCCTCCTTTGCATGTGTGGTTATTATTCTAATGAGCTTTCACCCAAACAAGACCAAATTTGGGTGTTCCGGACCGGACCAAATCTGCACCAATCATAGAGGTCTATGTTTCACAAGTTTGGACATCACAGTACAGCACAGTAGAGCGCAGTAGAGTAGAGTTCAGTACAGTACAGTACCGTTTAGAGCGCAGTAGAGTAGAGTTCAGTACAGTACAGTACAGTTTAGTAAGTATAGTAAAGTACAGTAGATTTCAGTACAGTACAATAAAGTCAATTTTACTGTACTCTACTCTAGTGTGCTCTACTGTACTGTACTGTACTGTACTGTACTGTACTGTACTGTACTGTAATGTACTGTACTAAACTCTACTGTATAGTACTGTACTGTATTTTACTAACCTATAATCTACTTCTCTGTACTGTACTGTGCTGTCCAAACTTGTGAAACAGACGTCTATGATTGGTTCAACATCCATGGACATCCGGTGTTGGTCAGTGCTCAGTGGGTGAGAGGGCTGGTTACCGTCAATTTAAACAGAGGTGTCAGTAAGAGCCGGGAGAGGTGACATTAACTGGAGAGAGAGAGGAGAGAGACAGGGAGAGAGAGAGGGAGGGGTTGTCCAGACACTCTTGCTTTGACCACCACGTAACAGAAAGTGAAAGAAAACATTGAGCTGAACATAACAGTATGCCCAACCCGTATAATATCGGAAGGGAGGAGAGTAGCAGGTGATCCAACTGTGGTTTGTGACTACTATGAATTCTCATTGTAGACACTTCAGTTGCAGTCATTCTGTTACTGATTTGTTGGGTCATTCTGATATCAATTTGGTAACAGAATGATGCGTTGTAAACACTTAATAAATCATTAACCAAATTGTTATCAGTACAAACACTATAACTAATTGGTAGGTCTACCTTTGGGAACTTCTGTCATTCTGTGAACTTTCATTACCCTCCATCCTCATGAGGCAGAGAAATGTGAAAATATCTTAAAGATATGTGGGTTTTTGGTAACATTTACATTTTAAGCAGACGCTCTTATCCAGAGCGACTTACAGGAACAATTAGGGTTAAGTGCCTTGCTCAAGGGCACATCGACAGATCTTTCACCTAGTCGGCTCGGGGATTAGAACCTGCGACCTTTCGGTTACTGGCACAACGCTCTTAACCACTAAGCTACCTGCCACCCCATGTGCCCCCCATAATGACAAGACACTAGCAATATTTCTTAAACTTACAGAACGCAAATAATTTCTCCAAAACTAAGTATAAATGATGATATTAAATTTACTTCAACATTATTGTATTTTGATATATTTATATGACCTTTTAAGAGTTTTTCTGCTAGATGTTTTCTAAGACCCCTTTTCAATCTATTTGACCAGAAATCAAAGCCTGGATAGGAAATGGTTGAACATTTCAAAAAAATATTTAGACTCTTCACTTTCATTTGACAACACATTTGATGTGTTCCTATGAACTTCACATGATAGTACTCATGGGAAATGCCCTACTACACTATACACACAGACACAGCGGTCTTCTGTAGCTCAGCTGGTAGAGCACGGCACTTGTAATGCCAGGGTAGTGGGTTTGTTCCCCGGGACAACCCAAACACAAAAATGTATGCACGCATGACTGTAAGTCGCTTTGGATAAAAGCGTCTGCAAAATAGCATATTATAATAGACTATAATGTATTTGACACCAAATCCCCTTGATAAAGATGTAAAGGCTCTGGTACCGCTTGCCGTGCGGTGGCAGAGATAACAGTCTATGACTAGGGTGGCTGGAGTCTTTGACAATTTTTAGGGCCTTCATCTGACACCGCCTGGTATAGAGGTCCTGGATGGCAGGAAGCTTGGCCCCAGTGATGTACGGGCCGTACGCATTACCCTCTGTAGTGCCTTGCGGTCGGAGGCCGAGCAGTTGCCATACCAGGCAGTAATGCAACCAGTCAGCATGCTCTCGATGGTGCAGCTGTAGAACCATTTGAGGATCTGAGGACCCATGCAAAATCTTTTCAGTCTCCTGAGAGGAAATAGGTTTTGTCGTGCCCTCTACACAACTGTCTTGGTGTACTTGGACCATGTTAATTTGTTAGTGATGTGGACACCAAGGAACTTAAAGCTCTCAACCTGCTCCACTACAGCCCCGTCTATTAGAATGGGGGCGTGCTCGGTCCTCTTCTTTTTCCTGTAGTCCACAATCATCTCCTTTGTCTTGATCATGTTGAGGGAGAGGTTGTTGTCCTGGCAACACACGGCCAGGTCTCTGACCTCCTCCCTATAGGCTGTCTCGTCGTTGTCGGTGACCAGGCCTACCACTATTGTGTCATCTGCAAACTTAATGATGGTGTTGGAGTCGTGCCTGGCCATGCAGTCATGAGTGAACACGGAGTACAGGAGGGGACTGAGCACGCACCCCTGAGGGGACCCAGTGTTGAGTATCAGTGTGGCTGATGTGTTGTTACCTACCCTTACCACCTGGGGGCGGCCCGTTAGGAAGTCCAGGATCCAGTTGCAGAGGGAGATGTTTAGTCCGAGGGTCCTTAGCTTGGTGATGAGCTTTGAGGGCACTATGGTGTTGAACGCTGAGCTGTAGTCAATGAATAGCATTCTCACATAGGTGTTCCTTTTGTCCAGGTGTGAAAGGGCAGTGTGGAGTGCAATAAAGATCGCATCATCTGTGGATCTGTTGGGGCGGTATGCAAATTGGAGTGGGTCAAGGGTTTCTGGGATAATGGTGTTGATGTGAGCCATGACCAGCCTTTCAAAGCACTTCATGGCTACAGACGTGAGTGCTACGGGTCGGTAGGCATTTAGGCAGGTTACCTTAGTGTTCTTGGGCACGGGGACAATGGTGGTCTGCTTGAAACATGTTGGTATTACAGACTCAGACAGGGAGAGGTTGAAAATGTCAGTGAACACACTTGCCAGTTAGTCAGCGCATGCTCGGAGTACACGTCTTGGTAATCCGTCTGGCCCTGCAGCCTTGTGAATGTTGACTTGTTTAAAGGTCTTACTCACATCGGCTATGGAGAGCGTGATCACATAGTCGTCCGGAACAGCTGATGCTCTCATGCATGTTTCAGTGTTACTTGCCTCGAAGCGTGCATAGAAGTAATTCATATAATCTATATATTTATAGGCTGCATTTATTGTAGCCGGGTATTTTAACAAAACAAATTTGAGGACTAGGCTTCCGAAGTTCTATCAACATATCAACTGTTGTACTCACGCTGCTAAAATCCTTGACCATTGCTATTCGAACTTCCGGGATGGTTATAAGGCCCTCCCCCACCCTCCTTTCAGCAAATCTGACTACAACTCAATTTTGCTCCTCCCTTCCTATAGGCAGCAACTCAACCAGGAAGTAGCCGTGTTAAGGACTATTCAACGCTGGACTGACCAATCGGAACCACACTTCAAGATTGTTTGGATCACGTGGACTGGGATATGTTCCGGGTAGCTTGCGAAAATAATTTAGACGAATACACTGAAACTGAGTTTATCAGGAAGTGTATAGGTGATGTTGTGCCAACTGTGACTATTAAAACCTACCCTAACCAGAAACTGTGGATAGATGGCAGCATTCACGCAAAACTGAAAGCGCGAACCACCGCATTTAACCATGGCAAGGTGACTGGGAATATGGCAGAATACAAACAGTGTAGCTACTCACTCCGCAAGGCAATTAAACTGGCAAAACATCAGTATAGAGACAAAGTGGAGTCGCAATTCAACAGCTCAGACACGAGACGTATGTGGCAGGGTCTACAGACAATCACGGACTACAAAAGGAAAACCAGCCACATCGCCGACACCGATGTTTTGCTTCCAGACATGCTAAACACCTTCGTCGCCTGCTTTGAGGATAACACAGTGCCACCGACGAGGCCCACTAACAAGGACTGTGGCCTCTCCTTCTCCGTGTCCGACATGAGTAAGACATTTAAGCATGTTAACCCCCGCAAGGCTGCCGGCCCAGACGGCATCCCTAGCCGTGTCCTCAGAGCATGCGCAGACCAGCTGGCTGGTGTGTTTTACGGACATATTCAATCTCTCCCTTTCCCAGTACCACATGCTTCAAGATGGCCACCATTGTTCCTGTAGCCAAGAAAGCAAAGGTAACTGAACTAAATGACTATCGCCCCGTAGCACTCACCTCTGTCATCATGAAGTGCTTTGAGAGACTAGTCAAGGATCATATCACCTCTACCTTACCTGTCACCCTAGACCCACTTCAATTTGCTTCCCGCCCCAATAGATCCACAGACGATGCAATCGCCATCACACTGCAACTGCCCGATCCCATCTGGACAAGAGGAATACCTATGTAAGAATGCTGTTCATTGACTATAGCTCAGCATTCAACACCATAGTACTCTCCAAGCTCATCATTAAGCTTGAGGCCCTGGGTCTGAACCCCGCCCTGTGCAACTGGGTCCTGGACTTCCTGACGGGCCTCCCCCAGGTTGTGAAGGTAGGAAACAACATCTCCACTTCGCTGATCCTCAACACTGGGGCCCCACAAGGGTGCGTTCTCAGCCCACTCCTGTACTCCCTGTTCACCCATGACTGCGTGGTCAAGCACGCCTCCAACTCAATCATCAAGTTTGCAGACGACACAACAGTAGTAGGCTTGATTAGCAACAATGACAAGACCGCCTAAAGGGAGGAGGTGAGGGCTCTGGGAGTGTGGTGCCTGGAAAAAAACCTCTCACTCAACATCAACAAAACAAAGGAGATGATCGTGGACTTCAGGAAACAGCAGAGGGTGCACCCCCCTATCCACATCGACGGGACCGCAGTGGGGAAGGTGGATAGCTTCAAGTTCCTTGGCGTACACATCACCGACAAACTGAAATGATCCACCCACGCAGACAGTTGTCACGGATTCAGCCGAGGCTGCTCCTCCTCCTTGCTCAGGCAGGCTTCGGCGTTCGTCGTCCCCGGAGTACTAGTTACTGCCGATCGATGTTTCAGTGTTTGTCTTGTTTGGTCTTTATTGTTTACACCTGTTTCCCATTATGTTGGATTGTATTCCCTATATTACCCCCTGTCTCTCATTGGTTATTTTGTGTGTGATTGTTCGTTGTCATTTCGGCAGTTGCTTTGTGTTACGGGTCTTTGTGTTTTCCTCCCTGTTTGGAGGTTTGTTGTTTTGTACGTTTTTACTGTGTTCAGTAAAGTACGTTGCCATCCACTCTGTGTCCTGCGTTTGACTTCGCTGACCGCATACACGTCGTGTGACAGAATCACACACCAAGACATGGAGTCAGCAGGAGCTCCGACGATACCACCACCATTAGCTATACCCATCGCTTCACCTCCGGGGTCCAGTGGGATTCGGCTCTCGCTCCCGAGGGCTTATGATGGGACCGCGGCCGGGTGTCAGGGTTTCCTGCTCCAACTGGAACTCTACCTGGCAACCGTCCACCCGGTGCCCTCGGGATACGAGAGCGTGTCCGCCCTCATCTCCTGTCTGTCCGGCAAGGCGCTGGAGTGGGCCAATGCCGAGTGGAGGGGAATAGACGCCGCTACAGTCAACTATGCGGAGTTCACCCGCCGCTTCAGGGCGGTGTTCGATCATCCCCCAGAGGGGAAGGCGGCGGGTGAGCGTCTGTTCCACCTCAGACAGGGGAAGAGGAGCACGCAGGAGTTCGCACTGGACTTCCGGACTCTGGCTGCCAATGCGGGATGGAATGAGAGGGCCCTCATCGACCACTACAGGTGCAGCCTGAGGGAGGACGTGCGTCGGGAATTGGTCTGCAGGGACACCAACCTAAGCTTCGATCAGCTGGTGGACATGTCGATTCGCCTAGATACCCTGTTGGCTACCCGCGGACGTCCGGAGTCGGGGCCGTCCATTCCATCCCCCAGCACTTCTGAGCCGAGCCCTATGGAGCTCGGGGGTGCTGGTGCTAGGGAGACTAGGAGAGAGACCAGGAGAGAGGCCGTCCCCTGCACCAACTGTGGCCGCAGAGGACACACTGCGGGTCGGTGCTGGGGAGGGTCTCCTAGGAATCGAGGCAGTAGGCAGCGCACTGATGAGTCATTCCAGGTGAGTAAGCACCCAACTCACCCAGAGCTCTCTGTTGTACATATGTGTATTAAAGTTGTGTTTCCCGAGGTTTCTCCTCACTCCCAGCATAAGGCGCTAGTAGATACAGGCGCAGCTGGGAATTTTATCGATCGCCGGTTCACGTATAAGTTAGCGATTCCTATTGTACCAGTTGATGTGCCCTTCCCCATCCATGCCCTAGATAGCCGCCCTTTGGGGTCGGGATTGATTAGGGAGGTCACAGCACCACTTAAGATGAAGACGCAGGAGGGTCATTAGGAGATTATACGGTTGTATTTGATTGACTCTCCTGCGTTTCCCGTGGTGTTGGGGCTTCCCTGGTTAAAATCTCATGACCCCAACATTTCATGGCAACAGAGGGCTCTCAAGGGATGGTCTGATCAGTGTGTCGGGCGGTGTAGGTGTTTCTGTAGGGGCAACGACGGTGGAAAGTCCGAACCAAATTCCCACCATGCACATTCCTCCTGAGTATGCCGATTTGGCACTCGCCTTCTGTGAAAAGAAGGCGACTCAATCTCCACCTCATCGACAGGGGGATTGTGCGATAGACCTCCAGGTAGGCGCTGCGCTTCCTCATAGTCATGTGTATCCTCTGTCTCAGGAGGAGACGGTGGCTATGGAGACATACGTCACCGAATCTCTGAGACAGGGATACATACGATTGTCCACTTCCCCTGCGTTCTCGCGTTTCTTTTTTGTGAAGAAGAAGGATGGGGGTTTACGCCCGTGTATTGATTACCGTGGTCTCAATCAGATTACAATCAAATACAGCTATCCTCTCCCTCTGATTGCTAGTATACGGAGCGCGATTCTTCACAAAATTGGATCTCAGGAGCGCTTACAACCTGGTGCGCATTAGGGAGGGAGATGAGTGGAAGACAGCATTCAGTACCACCTCGGGTCACTATGAGTACCTCGTCATGCCATACGGTTTAATGAATGCTCCTTCAGTCTTCCAATCGTTTGTGGACGAGATTTTCCGGGATTTGCATGGACAGGGTGTAGTGGTGTATATTGATGACATTCTAATATACTCCGCTACACGAGCCGAGCATGTGTCCCTGGTGCGTCGGGTGCTTGGTAGACTGTTGGAGCATGACCTGTATGTGAAGGCGGAGAAATGTCTGTTCTTCCAGGAGTCCATCTCCTTCCTGGGACATCGGTTGTCCACGTCAGGGGTGGAGATGGAGATTGACCGCGTTTCAGCTGCGCGTAATTGGCAGACTCCCACCACGGTGAAGGAGGTGCAGCGGTTTTGGGGTTTTGACAATTACTACCGGAGGTTTATCCGGGGCTTTGGACAGGTAGCAGCTCCCATCACCTCCCTGCTAAAGGGGGGCCCGGTGCGTTTGCAGTGGTCGGCTGAGGCGGACAGGGCGTTTAGACATCTGAAGGACCTGTTCACCTCGGCTCCGGTGCTGGCACAGACACTATATCCTCAGGCACCCCTTGTCGTTCCAAGTTGAGGTGGATACGTCCGAGGCGGGGATCGGTGCTATACTGTCTCAGCGCTCGGGCACGCCTCCAAAACTCCGCCCCTGTGCTTTCTATTCTAAGAAGCTCAGTCCGGCGGAGCGCAATTATGACGTGGGGGACAGGGAGCTGCTAGCGGTGGTTCAAGCCCTGAAGGTGTGGAGGCATTGGCTTGAGGGGGCTCAACACCCTTTTCTCATTCTGACTGACCATCGTAACCTGGAGTACATCCGGGCAGCGAGGAGACTGAACCCTCGTCAGGCTAGGTGGGCCATGTTTCTTACCCGATTTGTATTTAAGCTCACTTATAGACCAGGGTCACAGAACGGTAAGGCAGACGCCCTGTCCCGATGATATGACACAGAGGAGAGGTCCATTGAGCCCACTCCCATACTTCCGGAGTCTTGTCTGGTGGCACCGGTAGTGTGGGAGGTCGATGCGGACATCGAGCGGGCGTTACGTGCCGACCCTACTCCCCCACAGTGTCCAGAGGGACGGAAGTACGTGCCGCTCGAGGTCCGTGATCGACTGATATATTGGGCTCACACGTCACCCTCCTCTGGTCATGCTGGTATTGGTCGGACAGTGCACTGCCTTAGTGGGAAGTACTGGTGGCCCACCTTAGCTAGGGACGTGAGGGTTTACGTGTCTTCCTGCTCGGTGTGCGCCCAGTGTAAGGCGCCTAGACACCAGCCCAGAGGGAAGTTACAACCCCTACCTGTTCCACAACGGCCGTGGTCTCACCTATCGGTGGATTTTGTCACGGACCTTCCCCCCTCCCAGGGGAACACCACGATCTTGGTCGTTGTGGATCGGTTTTCTAAGGCCTGCCGTCTCATTCCTATGCCAGGTCTCCCTACAGCCCTACAAACGGCCGACGCCCTGTTTACTCACGTCTTCCGGCACTACGGGGTGCCTGAGGATATAGTGTCTGATTGGGGTCCCCAGTTCACCTCTAGAGTCTGGAGGGCGTTTATGGAACGTCTGGGGGTCTCGATTAGCCTTACCTCGGGCTTTCACCCTGAGAGTAATGGGCAGGCGGAGAGAGTAAACCAGGATGTGGGTAGGTTTCTGAAGTCCTATTGCCAGGACCGGCAGGAGGAGTGGTTGGGGTATATCCCATGGGCAGAGATAGCCCAAAACTCACTCCGCCACTCCTCCACTAATCTTACGCCTTTTCAGTGTGTGCTGGGTTATCAGCCAGTCCTGGCACCCTGGCATCAGAGCCAGATCGAAGCCGCTGCGGTGGATGAGTGGTTTCGGCGCTCGGAGGAAACATGGAGCATGTCCATCTGCAGCGGGCTATCAGGCGGCAAAAGGCGAGCGCCGATCGCCACCGCAGTGAGGCTCCGGTGTATGCACCGGGAGATCGGGTCTGGCTCTCGACCCGAAACCTGCTCCTTCGCCTGCCCTGCCGGAAGCTGGGTCGACGGTTTGTGGGGCCATTTAAAGTCCTGAGGAGATTGAACGAGGTATGTTATAGGTTACAACTGCCCATTAAATACCGCATTAACCCCTTGTTCCATGTGTCTCTCCTCAGGCCGGTGGTAGCTGGTCCACTCCAGGAGAATGAGATACGAGAGGCTCCTCCGCCCCCACTAGACATCGAGGGGGCTCCGGCGTACTCAGTCCGTTCCATCGTGGATTCGAGGCGTCGGATGGGGGGTCTGCAGTATCTCGTGGAGTGGGAGGGGTACGGTCCGGAGGAACGGTGCTGGGTCCCTAGGAGGGACATCCTTGATCCCTCCCTGTTGAGGGATTTCCACCGGAGTCATCCGACTCGCCCTGCTCCGCGTCCTCCTGGCCGTCCCCGAGGCCGGGGTCGGCGCATGGCTGGAGGCGCGCGTCAAGGGGGGGGGGGTACTGTCACGGATTCAGCCGAGGCAGCTCCTCCTCCTTGCTCGGGCAGGCTTCGGCGTTCGTCGTCCCCGGAGTACTAGCTACTGCCGATCGATGTTTCGGTGTTTGTCTTGTTTGGTCTTTATTGTTTACACCTGTTTCCCATTATGTTGGATTGTATTCCCTATATTACCCCCTGTCTCTCATTGGTTATTTTGTGTGTGATTGTTCGTTGTCATTTCGGCAGTTGCTTTGTGTTACGGGTCTTTGTGTTTTCCTCCCTGTTTGGAGGTTTATTGTTTTGTATGTTTTTACTGTGTTCAGTAAAGTACGTTGCCAGCCGCTCTGTGTCCTGCGTTTGACTTCGCTGACCGCATACACGTCGCGTGACAACAGTGTGGTGAAGAAGGCACAACAGAGCCTCTTCAACCTCAGGAGGCTGAAGAAATTTGGCTTGGCACCTAAAACCCTCACAAACTTTTACAGATGCACAATTGAGAGCATCCTGCCGGGCTGTATCACCGCCTGGTACTGCAACTGCACCGCCCGCAACCGCAGGGCTCTCCAGAGGGTGGTGCGGTCTGCCGAACGCATTACCGGGGGCAAACTACCCGCCCTCCAAGACACCTACAGCACCCGATGTCACAGGAAGGACAAAAAGATAATCAAGGACATCAACCACCCGAGCCACTGCCTGTTCACCCCTCTATCATCCAGAAGGCGAGGTCAGTAGAGGTGCATCAAAGCTGGGACCGAGAGAATGAAAAACAGATCCTCAAAAAGTTATACAGCTACACCATCGAAAGCATCCTGACTGTTTGCATCACCGCCTGGTATGGCAACTACTCGGCCTCCGATCGCAAGGCACTACAGAGGGTAGTGCGTACGGCTCAGTACATCATTGGGGCCAAGCTTCCTGCCATCCAGGACCTCTATACCAGGCTGTGTCAGAGGAAGGCCCTAAAAATTGTCAAAGACTCCAGCCACCCTAGTCATAGACTGTTCTCTCTGCATTTCACTGTAAGGTCTACACCTGTTGTATTCGGCGCATGTGACAAATACAATTTGATTTGATTTAATCTATCCCATTTCAAGATCAATCTTTACAAGTATATAGGGGGTTTGGTGGTAGGAGAAAGGGGCTAGCTAGGGTGTAGGGGCTAGTTGCAGGGGCTAGGGTGTACTGAAGAGGCTAAGGGGTTACTAATGATCCCGTCCCTATGGTTGATAATTTCAGCAAATTATTACAACTGAAAACAGACTTGCTTTTTAATTGTCAGTAAATAATATCTTAAAACAAGGATGTATGAAGTTTATCAGTGAAGGCAGCGGAAACCCTAATTCAAACAGGTGAATGAGGCTTATTGAGTTTTGTTGCATAATGGAAAAGCCATAGAGATATGAGAGAGATACAGTGAGGGAAAAAAGTATTTGATCCCCTGCTGATTTTGTACGTTTTCCCACTGACAAAGAAATGATCAGTCTATAATTTTAATGGTAGGATTATTTGAACAGTGAGAGACAGAATAACAACAGAAAAACGCATGTCAAAAATGTTATAAATTGATTTGCATTTTATTGAGGGAAATAAGTATTTGACCCCTCTGCAAAACATGACTTAGTACTTGGTGGCAAAACCCTTGTTGCCAATCACAGAGGTCAGACGTTTCTTGTAGTTGGCCACCAGGTTTGCACACATCTCAGGAGGGATTTTGTCCCACTCCTCTTTGCAGATATTCTCCAAGTCATTAAGGTTTTGAGGCTGACGTTTGGCAACTCGAACCTTCAGCTCCCTACACAGATTTTCTATGGGATTAAGGTCTGGAGACTGGCTAGGCCACTCCAGGACCTTAATGTGCTTCTTCTTGAGCCACTCCTTTGTTGCCTTGGCCGTGTGTTTTGGGTCATTGTCATGCTGGAATACCCATCCACGACCCTTTTTCAATGCCCTGGCTGAGGGAAGGAGGTTCTCACCCAAGATTTGACGGTACATGGCCCCATCCATCGTCCCTTTGATGCGGTGAAGTTGTCCTGTCCCCTTAGCAGAAAAACACCCCCAAAGCATAATGTTTCCACCTCCATGTTTGATGGTGGGGATGCTGTTCTTGGGGTCATAGGCAGCATTCCTCCTCCTCCAAACACGGCGAGTTGAGTTGATGCCAAAGAGCTCGATTTTGGTCTCATCTGACCACAACACTTTCACCCAGTTCTCCTCTGAATCATTCAGATGTTCATTGGCAAACTTCAGACGGGCCTGTATATGTGTTTTCTTGAGCAGGGGGACCTTGCGGGCCCTGCAGGATTTCAGTCCTTCACGGCGTAGTGTGTTACCAATTGTTTTCTTGGTGACTATGGTCCCAGCTGCCTTGAGATCATTGACAAGATCCTCCCGTGTAGTTCTGGGCTGAATCCTCACTGTTCTCATGATCATTGCAACTCCACGAGGTGAGATCTTGCATGGAGCCCCAGGCCGAGGGAGATTGACAGTTCTTTTGTGTTTCTTCCATTTGTGAATAATCGCACCAACTGTTGTCACCTTCTCACCAAGCTGCTTGGCGATGGTCTTCCAGCCCATTCCAGCCTTGTGTAGGTCTACAATCTTGTCCCTGACATCCTTGGAGAGCTCTTTGGTCTTGGCCATGGTGGAGAGTTTGGAATCTGATTGATTGATTGCTTCTGTGGACAAGTGTCTTTTATACTGGTAACAAGCTGAGATTAGGAGCACTCCTTTGAAGAGTGTGCTCCTAATCTCAGCTCGTTACCTGTATAAAAGACACCTGGGAGCCAGAAATCTTTCTGATTGAGAGGGGTCAAATACTTATTTCCCTCATTAAAATGCAAATAAATGTATAACATTTTTGACATGCGTTTTTCTGGATTTTTTTGTTGTTATTCTGTCTCTCACTAATAAATCTACCATTAAAATTATAGACTAATAATTTCTTTGTCAGTGGGCAAACGTACAAAATCAGCAGGGGATCAAATACTTTTTTCCCTCACTGTAGGAGTGGTCACTGAGAGTATAAAAGGGTTCAGCAGCCCATGGAGCAATGTACAGAGCAACTGTGGGCAAACTACTCATATGTGTTGGTAAGTGGAAGCACTCTCTGGCTTATTTAGCTTATAACTAACTGTACTAAAGCTAACATTTTATTTTATATTTGAATTGTAATGACAATCACCAACATTCAAACATACAAGGCTCTATACTAAGGCTCTGGCTCCCTGGGGAGGGAATAGACCACTGGCAAATGTCCTCTAGCTATGCATTTTGTCAATGCTGCTGTGGTCAATGTCTGTTTCTAAGGACTGGGGTTGCCAGCCCCATGACCAGCCTACACGCTTAGAAAAAAAGAGTTCCAAAAGGGTTCTTCGGCTGTCCCCATAGGGCAACCTTTTTTGGTTCCAAGTAGAATTATTTTGGGTTCCTGTCACGATCGCCAATAAAGTAGGACCAAAGCGCAGCGTTGGGAGTGAACATGATGACTTTAATGTTGAAATAACGACAAAACAAAACACGATCCGTAACGTCCTCAGTACACCGACTGAACATAGAACAAAAACCCACCACCACAAGGTGAACACAGACATATAAATATGGCTCCCAATCAGAGATAACGAGCCGACAGCTGACACTCGTTACCTCCGATTGGGAGTCACTGACCAAACATAGAACGCGAACACCTAGACACTACCCACAGTACACAACACACGGAAATCTACACACCCTGACTAAACACAAAAAGTCCTAGAACCAGAGTGTGACAGTACCCCCCCCCAAAGGCGCGGACTGCGACCGCGCCTAACTACAAGCAAACAGGGGAGGGCTGGGTGGGCATTCCTCCTCGGCGGCGGCTCCGGCTCTGGCAGATCCCGGCTGGACGGCTCTGGCGGATCCTGGCTGGACGGCTCTGGCGGATCCTGGCTGGACGGCTCTGGCGGATCCCGGCTGGACGGCTCTGGCGGATCCCGGCTGGACGGCTCTGGCGGATCCCGGCTGGACGGCTCTGGCGGGTCCCGGCTGGACGGCTCTGGCGGGTCCCGGTTGGACGGCTCTGGCGGATCCTGGCTGGACGGCTCTGGCGGATCCCGGCTGGACGGCTCTGGCGGATCCTGGCTGGACGGCTCTGGCGGATCCTGGCTGGACGGCTCTGGCGGATCCTGGCCGGACGGCTCTGGCGGATCCTGGCTGGACGGCTCATGGCTGGCTGACGGATCTGGCTGCTCATGGCTGGCTGACGGATCTGGCTGCTCATGGCTGGCTGACGGATCTGGCTGCTCATGGCTGGCTGACGGATCTGGCCACTCATGGCTGGCGGAAGGCTCTGGCTGATCCTGTCTGGCGGAAGGCTCTGGCTGATCCTGTCTGGCGGAAGGCTCTGGCTGCTCCTGTCTGGCGGAAGGCTCTAGCGGCTCCGGTCTGGCGGACGGCTCTGAAGGCTCATGGCAGACGGGCGGCTTTGCAGGCTCAGTACAGACGGGCAGTTCCTGCGGCGCTTGGCAGACGGACAGTTCAGACGGCGTTGGGCAGACGGACAGTTCAGGCCCCGTTGGGCAGACGGCAGACTCTGGCCGTCTGAGGCGCATCGTAGGCCTGGTGCGTGGTGCCGGAACAGGAGGTACCGGGCTGAGGACACGCATCTCAGGACTAGTGCGGGAAGCAACAACAGGACGCACAGGACTCTGGGGACACACAGGAGGCTTGGTGCGTGGTGTATGCACTGGTGGTAAAGGGCTGGAGACACGCACCATCGAGCCAGCGCGTGGAGGAGACACAGGGCTCTGAAGACGCACAGGAAACCTGGTGCGTGGTGTAGGTACTGGTGGTACTGGGCTGGAGCGAGGAGGTGGCGCCGGAAATACCGGACCGTGCAGGCGTACTGGCTCCCTTGAGCACTGAGCCTGCCCAACCTTACCTGGGTTGATGCTCCCCGTCGCCCGACCAGTACGGGGAGGTGGAATAACCCGCACCGGCCTATGTGGGCGAACCGGGAACACCATGCGTAAGGCTGGTGCCATGTACGCCGGCCCGAGGAGACGCACTGGTGACCTGCTGCGTGGGACCGGCTTCATGACATCCGGCTCAACACTCAATCTGGCCCGGCCGATACGTGGAGCTGGACTGTACCGAACCGGGCTATGCCTGCGTACAGGAGACACCATGCGCTCAACTGCGTAACACGGTGTCTGCCCGTACTCTCGCTCTCCACGGTCAGTCCAGGGAGTAGGCGCAGGTCTCCTACCTGACTTTGCCATACTCCCTTTTAGCCCCCCCCCAAGAAATTTTTGGGTAGTACCCACGGGCTTCCAGCCACGACTCCGTGCTGCCTCCTCATACCACCTCCTCTCGGCTTGAGCTGCCTCCAGCTCCTCACGAGGGCGGTGATATTCCTCCGGTTGTGCCCAAGGACCCTTTCCAGCCCGTATCTCCTCCCATGTCCATGAATCCTTTGGAGGCGTCCATAAATCCTGTGTAGGTAGGTCCTGTTGCCGCTTGTTACGCTGCTTGGTCCTCTTGTGGTGGGTTTTTCTGTCACGATCGCCAATAAAGTAGGACCAAAGCGCAGCGTTGGGAGTGAACATGATGACTTTAATGTTGAAATAACGACAAAACAAAACACGATCCGTAACGTCCTCAGTACACCGACTGAACATAGAACAAAAACCCACCACCACAAGGTGAACACAGACATATAAATATGGCTCCCAATCAGAGATAACGAGCCGACAGCTGACACTCGTTACCTCCGATTGGGAGTCACTGACCAAACATAGAACGCGAACACCTAGACACTACCCACAGTACACAACACACGGAAATCTACACACCCTGACTAAACACAAAAAGTCCTAGAACCAGAGTGTGACAGTTCCATGTAGAGTCCTCTGTGGAAAGGGTTCTACATGGAACTCAAAAGGGTTCTACCTGGAACCAAAAAGGGTTCTTCAAAGGGTTATCCTATGGGGACAGCTAAAGAACCCTTTTAGGTTCTAGATAGCACCTTTTTTTCTAAGAGTGTATATTCATGTCTGAGGGGACGGAATAGTAGAACATCAGCACATTATTTCATTATTATTACAGTTCTGAATTATATATATATATATTTAAATAATAATAATAATTGCTTCTTCCTTTCTTTATTTCTGTCGCTCTCGCTTCCTCTCTCTCTTCTTCTCTTTCTCTCTCTAGGACTGGCTCACCTGCTGCATGTGAAGCTAGGTACATTTTATTTACATGTAGCAAACCAGAGAACAATGAAGTCTGTCAACCCTGACTCTAAAACTGCCTAACTCTACCATTACTAATACCCTTCCATAGGATCCTCCTACATCCTGTCCTGTTATTTCACTAACTGGGGCCAGTATTTGATCGCTGACGTGAACCCCTTCCTCTGTGACCATCTGATCTATGCCTTCGCCTGCATGGCCAACAACGAGATCAAGACCTCTGAATGGAACGATGAGATACTCTTCGGACAATTCCAGGCCTTCAAGAACCAGTGAGAGAGACACACATGCATAAACACACAGACAAACACACACTCTTGCAGGCAGGCATGCACGCGCGCACGCACATACACACTCATGCAGGCGTGCACACAAACTCGCCCAGGCACGCACGCATGCAGGCACACACACACACAAATGCAGGCACACATTCTCATTCAGGCACCTACACACACATACCTAAACTATGACTAACCCCAACTCTCGTATTTGCTTACAGGAACAGCAACCTGAAGACTCTGCTGGCCATAGGAGGAGGGAACTTTGGCACTCAGCCGCAAGTGGAGATACACACACACACGCACGGACGCACACACACACACACACATAGACACACCCTGTGTCTGAGCCGTGTATGTCCCAAGGTTCACAGAGATGGTGTCCAGTACAGCCAACCGCCAGACGTTCATCAACAGTGCGATCAAGTTTCTGAGGCAGTACCAGTTTGATGGCCTGGATATTGACTGGGAGTTCCCCGGATCCAAAGGCTCCCCGCCCACAGACAAGTACAGATTCACCATCCTGGTGGAGGTCAGACTCACACACACACATACATACACACACATGAATGAACAAACACACCCCTCTGTGTACTGTCTCCCTCTAGGAGCTGATGGCTGCCTTCGAGGCTGAGGGAAAGAAGACCAACCGTCCTCATCTGATGCTGATTGCAGCTGTGTCTGCAGATCCCCAAGATTGGACCGTCAGTACACACACTGGGCCTCATTGATATATCAGTTCTTATGAAAAATGTGTACACAAAAACATGCATGATCTATCAAATACTACCTTGCATATTGGAAATGGTTTGTTTATTCAAGCCACTAAATATTAATTTTTATCTCTCTCCCTCTCTCTCCCTCTCAGGGTGTTGGACTTCCTGCATGTGATGACCTATGACTTCTATGGATCTTGGGAATTCACCACTGGAAAAAACAGCCCTCTCTACCAAGGACCGGCTGATCAGGCAAACCATATCTATTACAATGTAGTGAGACTCTCTCACTCTACTTCCCTCTTTCTTTTTCTCCCTCTCTCATATTTCTCTCTACCCATCTCTTACTCTCTCTCTTCCCCTGTTTATCAAATTGGTCTCTTCCTGCCTGTCTAGTTTCCAGTTGAGAGTGAGTAACACATCTTTATTTTTCCAACCTTTGCTCCTTCTCTCTCTAGTGTTCTCACTACCAGATACTGTGTGTTGTCAGGACTATGCTATGAAGTACTGGAAAAGCAATGGTGCCCCCGCCGAGAAGCTCCTGGTTGGATTTGCCATCCACGGCAACACCTTTCAGCTGGCAAGTGGCTCTAAAACTGGTGTGGGCACTCCCACCATCGGCCCAGGCCCTGCCGGACCCTTCACCAGTCATGCTGGCTTCTTGGCCTACTACGAGGTAACTGACACAGGACCAGGATACTGTAGGTCTGACATTGCACCCTATTCCCTACACAATGCACTACTTGTGTGCTCTGGTCAAAGGTAGTGTACTATATGGGGAACAGGGTGCCATTTTGGACTCGATCACAGTGTGTGTTTGTGAGTGATTACATCTGCAGCTTCCTGAAGCAGGCTTCCCATTGAAGACGATGTATACTCCCAACCCTAACGTAAGTGTGTGTGTCTTTAGATCTCCACCTTCCTGAAGCAGGGAGTGATCGAGGTCTGGGACTTTACCCAGATGGTGCCCTACGCCTACAACAAGCAGAACGTGTGGGTCGGATACGATAACGTCAAGAACTTCCAAAACAAGTTCTGTGTTTGTGTGGGAGTGCATCTGTGGGGGAAAATATATGACTAGAGGGTAATGGAGTAGAATCCTACTCTGTTACAATAAGGCTAATAATATATGCCACTTCGCATATGCTTTTATCCAAAGTGATTTATAGTACTGCGTCAAACCCACGATTTTGACTTTGGAAGCACCATTCGCTGCCAACTGAGTTCAAGTTCTACCACATACAAAAATCAAATTTCACCCCCTTATGTAAACCCTCCACTACCCTCTCTCCCTACCCCTACAGATCAAATGGCTGAAAAACAATAGCTTCGGAGGAGCCATGGTGTGGAGTCTGGCAATGGATGACTTCTCTGGAACCTTCTGCGGAGAGGGCAGATACCCTCAAGTCTGGACTGGGAACCGGAGCCGGTGAGAGACACACACACACACAAACGCAAGCCTGCATGCACACACACACATTCACAACCCTCTCCATCACTATGTCAACCAGAACTGGGTTAAAATAGTACTTGAAATGATATCAACCCCCTCTCTCTTCCATCTCTCCCAGGTCGTTTCATCAGCTTCAAGTGAAACCATGGTTCCCCCCTATTAAATAGTTCCTACCCCCATGAAGGAGCTGGGTCTAAAGGCTGTGTGGTTGTTAGGGCCACTGTTGTCATAGCCTATTCTAACATCAGCTCCATGTAATATGTCTAATCCATTATATCACCAGCTCCATGTAATATGTCTAATCCATTATAACACCAGCTCCTTGTAATATGTCTAATCCATTATAACACCAGCTCCATGTAATATGTCTAATCCATTATAACACCAGCTCCATGTAATATGTCTAATCCATTATAACACCAGCTCCATGTAATATGTCTAATCCATTCGAACATCAGCTCCATGTAATATGTCTAATCCACTCCCAAAATTTGAATGCTTCCTGCTGTCTCTGTCACTTTACTTCCTCCACTCTGCGTGTCTTTGAGGTCAACTACATTGCACTTGAACTGTGCACAATAACTGATCTACAAATCACCTTGCATCCCACATAACTACTCAGTATGTGATCAAGATTCTGCACCTCACCTTGCTCAAACTAATTGCCTCAAACACCCTCTGTCGGTTTAGTTTCCATACAATCCATTTCACCACAGAGAAGTAAGCAGTAAGAGAGAAGTCCTTTATTAAAGTCAAACTTTACCAGGCTGACAGACAGTACAAAGGACACATAGCTTAAACTGAGTGGTCATTAACATGACATAGTTTAAGTTAAGGCACTGACATTTAACACGTAGGAAACATGTACACAAACACAGAACATAGAAAATTGAATACACTTCAACTTCATTTCAAATCTGTGATGTTATAAATTAGAATATTTAAAAAACTAACCACACCACAGTGCAAAGTGAAACTAAGCATGAATCATTGTGATCAGATAGTGGTAAAAACACACACGTATAAAACGCTTATAAAATCTTATGAAAAGTGGTGATACCAGGGGGTTAGAGGCGTGTGAGGTTGTTGGAGATGTGGTAAACATTGTTGTCTGGCAGGTGGAGAGAGTTCTTCCTATAGTACCGCTCTCCCCGGTGGACCTCCAGGTACGGACCCCAACCCTCTACAGGAGAACACACCGCACACATACGCTGCAGACAGAGAGACAGACACATTAAATGTACTGTAATAGAGAGGACGCTTGGAGAGACACACAAACAGACTTTAATAGGGAGGCATTAACACTAGAAACGCTAAAGCAGTCATTTTGGCTGCACTTTTTTGTTTTGTTTTTATACTCCGCCGTTTATAAAGTCAAGCCCCCCTCCGTCCTTGATTTTCCCTAAGTACCATTTATCTTTTTTAGTTGATCTTTAACGCTGCATTGTTGGCAAAGGACCCGTAAGTAAGCATTTCACTGTTAGTCTACACCTGTTATTTACGAAGCATGTGACGAATAACATTTTATTTAATATACTGCATGCATTTTGACCTGAACTTTCCAGGACCTGGGTTTGAAAAAAGGATTCAGACAATTCCAGGAGAAGTTCCAAACACTCTCAGAAGTCCTAAGGATCTACACTTCTGCCCACACACACACACCTACCTGCCAGGGGTTTCCTTGGGCGTTGAGTATTTTCCAGACGGCGACGAGGGGGATCCAGATGAGACAGAAGGCGATCATACACCATCCCAGAGCCACCCCCCACGCAGGGTACTGCACCGTACCATAGGATGGCGGATGGAACGTCAACAACGACCAAACCAAGATCACCTACACAACACACACGCATTAGAGAGCGTGTGTGCGTGCCAGAGGGAAAAAAGGGGTTAGAGAAATGAGGACCATGGAACAGAGCCAGGTAGGATGGAATCTAAGTTCTAAAGAGAAAGACAGAGACAGCTTAGAGAGAACTCACAGTGATGACAGCAGGAGAGATAAAGAACCAGCATGCTCTCCACCACAGCCAGAAGAGAGAACTCCTCGTCCCAATCATCATCTCTATGTCCTTAATGAAACGATTTCCTCCTTCACACAAACACATAATACAAATGTCACAGACTATGTTCCATACGTAATATGCTGTACATGTAGCTATAACATGTAATATCCTGTATATGTAGCTAAAACATGTAATATCCTGTATATGTAGTTATAACATGTAATATCCTGTATATGTAGCTAAAACATGTAATATCCTGTATATGTAGCTAAAACATGTAATATCCTGTATATGTAGCTAAAACATGTAATATCCTGTATATGTAGTTATAACATGTAATATCCTGTATATGTAGCTAAAACATGTAATATCCTGTATATGTAGCTATAACATGTAATATCCTGTATATGTAGTTATAACATGTAATATCCTGTATATGTAGTTATAACATGTAATATCCTGTATATGTAGCTAAAACATGTAATATCCTGTATATGTAGCTATAGCATGTAATATCCTGTATATGTAGCTATAGCATGTAATATCCTGTATATGTAGCTATAACATGTAATATCCTGTATATGTAGCTATAACATGTAATATCCAATATATGTCACTATAACATGTAATATCCTGTATATGTAGCTATAACATAACATGTAATATCCTGTATATGTAGCTATAACATGTAATATCCTGTATATGTAGCTATAACATGTACTATCCTGTATATGTAGCTATAACATAACCTGTAATATCCTGTATATGTAGCCATAACGTAATATCCTGTATATGTAGCTATAACATGTAATTTCCAATATATGTAGCTATAACATAATATGTAATATCCTGTATATGTAGCTATAACATAACCTGTAATATCCTGTATAAGTAGCTACAACATAACCTGTAATATCCTGTATATGTAGCTACAACATAACCTGTAATATCCTGTATATGTAGCCATAACGTAATATCCTGTATATGTAGCCATAACGGAATATCCTGTATATGTAGTTATAACATGTAATATCCAATATATGTAGCTAAAACATGTAATATCCTGTATATGTAGCTATAACATATAATACCCTGTATATGTAGCTATAACATAACATGTATTATCCTGTATATGTAGCTAAAACATGTAATATCCTGTATATGTAGCTATAACATATACTACCCTGTATATGTAGCTATAACATAACATGTAATATCCTGTATATGTAGCTATAACATAACATGTAATATCAGGTATATGTAGCTATAACATGTAATATAATGTAAATGTAGCTATAACATAACATGTAATATTCTCTATATGTAGCTATAACATGTAATTTACTGTATACGTAGCATATTTTTACTTACCGTAGATGTAGAACACCCCAACAAGCTCCAGCAAAGCAGCGATCAGTAGAACAAAGCCAGCACAGAACTGATCCATCAGAGTCACCCAGTATATCCCTGCCTGGAGTGACGCAGGCAGGCACACACACAATAAATAAATGTGAACGAAATTATGGTATCTAAAGACCTACTTTAGTTATGGTAACTAAGGACTTACCTGGGTTACGCACGGCAGGCCGAGCAGGAAAAGGATGGCACAGGTTGCCACAGAGATGATAGACCGCTTTGATTTGAAGGTTTCAGGGAAGGCATCCTGTAGGCAGGTGGAGATGACCTCTGGGGGACAACGGCAAGAGTCAGAGGTCACTGTCCAGGTCTAGTTAGTTAGTTAGTTAGTTAGTTTTTGTGTGTTGTGTTGTGTTGTGTTGTATTAATATATATAACCCAGGACTGACACACACATGTGCATGGCATACAGTGAGGGAGAAAAGTATTTGATCCCCTGCTGATTTTGTACGTTTGCCCACTGACAAAGAAATGATCAGTCTATCATTTTAATGGTAGGTTTATTTGAACAGTGAGAGACAGAATAACAAAACAAAAATCCAGAAAAACGCATGTCAAAAATGATATAAATTGATTGGCATTTTAATGAGGGAAATAAGTATTTGACCCCTCTGCAAAACATGACTTAGTACTTGGTGGCAAAACCCTTGTTGGCAATCACAGAGGTCAGACGTTTTTTGTGGATGGCCACCAGGTTTGCACACATCTCAGGAGGGATTTTGTCCCACTCCTCTTTGTAGATCTTCTCCAAGTCATTAAGGTTTCGAGGCTGACGTTTGGCAACTCGAACCTTCAGCTCCCTACACAGATGTTCTATGGGATTAAGGTCTGGAGACTAGCTAGGCCACTCCAGGACCTTAATGTGCTTCTTCTTGAGCCACTCTTTTGTTGCCTTGGCCGTGTGTTTTGGGTCATTGTCATGCTGGAATACCCATTCACGACCCTTTTTCAATGCCCTGGCTGAGGGAAGGAGGTTCTCACCCAAGATTTGACGGTACATGGCCCCATCCATCGTCCCTTTGATGCGGTGAAGTTGTCCTGTCCCCTTAGCAGAAAAACACCCCCAAAGCATAATGTTTCCACCTCCATGTTTGACGGTGGGGATGCTGTTCTTGGGGTCATAGGCAGCATTCCTCCTCCTCCAAACACGGCGAGTTGAGTTGATGCCAAAGAGCTCGATTTTGGTCTCATCTGACCACAACACTTTCACCCAGTTCTCCTCTGAATCATTCAGATGTTCATTGGCAAACTTCAGACGGGCATGTATATGTGCTTTCTTGAGCAGGGGGACCTTGCGGGCGCTGCAGGATTTCAGTCCTTCACGGCGTAGTGTGTTACCAATTGTTTTCTTGGTGACTATGGTCCCAGCTGCCTTGAGATCATTGACAAGATCCTCCCGTGTAGTTCTGGGCTGATTCCTCACCGTTCTCATGATCATTGCAACTCCATGAGGTGAGATCTTGCATGGAGCCCCAGGCCGAGGGAGATTGACAGTTATTTTGTGTTTCTTCCATTTGCGAATAATCCACCAACTGTTGTCACCTTCTCACCAAGCTGCTTGGCGATGGTTTTGTAGCCCATTCCAGCCTTGTGTAGGTCTACAATCTTATCCCTGACATCCTTGGAGAGCTCTTTGGTCTTGGCCATGGTGGAGAGTTTGGATTCTGATTGATTGATTGCTTCTGTGGACAGGTGTCTTTTATACAGGTAACAAGCTGAGATTAGGAGCACTCCCTTTAAGAGTGTGCTCCTAATCTCAGCTCGTTACCTGTATAAAAGACACCTGGGAGCCAGAAATCTTTCTGATTGAGAGGAGGTCAAATACTTATTTCCCTCATTGAAATGCAAATCAATTTATAACATTTTTTATATGTGTTTTTCTGGATTTTGTTGTTGTTATTCTGTCTCTCACTGTTCAAATAAACCTACCATTAAAATTATAGACTGATCATTTCTTTGTCAGTGGGCAAACATACAAAATCAGCAGGGGATCAAATACTTTTTTCCCTCACTGTATACAGTGCCTTCGGAAAGTATTCAGACACCTTGACTTTCTCCACATTTTGTTACATTACAGCTTTATTCTAAAATTGATAAAATAAATACAAATCCTCAATAATCTACACACATAATGACAAACTGAAAACAGGTTTTTAGATTTTTTTGCAAATGTATAAATAAATAAAAGTATTCAGACCCTTTGCTATGAGACTTGAATTTGAGCTCAGGTGCATCCTGTTTCCATTGATCATCCTTGAGATGTTTCTACAACATGATTGGAGTCCACCTGTGGTAAATTCAATTGATTGGACATGATTTGGAAAGGCACACACCTGTCTATATAAAGTCCCACAGTTGACAGTGCATGTTAAAAAAAAACAAGCCACGAGGATTGAGGAGAGGCACAGATCTGGGAAAGGGTACCAAAATATTTCTGCAGCATTGAAGGTCCCCAAGAACACAGTGGCCTTGCATCATTCTTAAATGGAAGAAGTTTGGAACCACCAAGACCCTTCCTAGAGATTGCCGCCCAGCCAAACTTAGCAAATCGTGGGAGAAGGGCCTTGGTCATGGAGGTGACCAAGAACCCGATGGTCACTCTGACAGAGATCTAGAGTTCCTCTGTGGAGATGGGAGAACCTTCCAGAAGGACAACCATCTCTACAGCACTCCACCAATCAGGCCTTTATGGTAGAGTGGCCAGACGGAAGCCACTCCTCAGTAAAAGGCACGACAGCCCGCACTTAAAGACTCTCAGACCATGAGAAACAAGATTCTCTGGTCAGATGAAACCAAGATGGAACTATTTGGCCTGATTGCCAAGCGTCACGTCTGGAGGAAACCTGGCACCATCCCTACGGTGAAGCATGGTGGTGGCAGCATCATGCTGTGGGGATGTTTTTCAGTGGCAGTGACTAGGAGACTAGTCAGGATCGAGGGAAAGATGAACGGAGCAAAGTACAGAGAGATCCTTGATGAAAACCTGCTCCAGAGCGCTCAGGACCTCAGACTGGGGAAAAGGTTCACCTTCCAATAGGACAACGACCCTAAGCACACAACCAAGACAACCCCGGAATGGCTTCGGGACAAGTCTCTGAATGTCCTCGAGTGGCCCAGTCAGAGCCCGGACTTGAACCCGATCGAACATCTCTGGAGAGACCTGAAAATAACTGTGCAGCGATGCTCTCCATCCAACCTGACAGAGCTTGAGAGGATCAGCAGAGAAGAATGGGAGAAACTTGTGTGCCAAGCTTGTAGCGCCATACCCAAGAAGACTTGGAGGCTGTAATCGCTGCCAAAGGTCCTTCAACAAAGTACTGGGTCTGAATACTTATGTAAATGTCATTTCAGTTTTTTAGTTAAAAAAAATTAGCAAACATTTCTAAAACAGTTTTTGCTTTGTCATTATGGGGTATTGTGTGTAGATTGATGAGGGGGGAAAACAATTCAATCAATTTTAGAATAAGGCTGTAACCTAACAAAATGTGGAAAAAGTCAAGGGGTCTGAATACTTTCCGAAGGCACTGTATGTATGTACAGTTGAAGTCGGAAGTTTACATACACCTTAGCCAAATACATTTAAACTCAGTTTTTCACAATTACTGACATTTAATCCTAGTAAAGATTCCCTGTCTTAGGTCAGTTAGGATCACCACTTTATTTTAAGAATGTGAAATGTCAGAATAATTGTAGAGAGAATGATTTATTCCAGCTTTTATTTCTTTCATCACATTCCCAGTGGGTCAGAAGTTTACATACACTCAATTTGTATTTGGTAGCATTGCCTTTACATTGTTTAACTTGGGTCAAACGTTTCGGGTAGTCTTCCACAAGCTTCCCACAATAAGTTGGGTGAATTTTTGCCCATTCCTCCTGACAGAACTGGTGTAACTGAGTCAGGTTTGTAGGCCTCCTTGCTCACACACGCTTTTTCAGTTCTGCCCACACATTTTCTATAGGATTGAGGTCAGGGCTTTGTGATGGCCACACCAATACCTTGATTTTGTTGTCCTTAAGCCATTTTGCCACAATTTTGGAAGAATGCTTGGGGTCATTGTCCATTTGGAAGACCCATTTGCGACCAAGCTTTAACTTCCTGATTGATGTCTTGAGATGTTGCTTCAATTTTCCTTCCTCATGATGCCATCTATTTTGTGAAGTGCACCAGTCCCTCCTGCAGCAAAGCACACCCACAGCATGATGCTGCCACCCCTGTGCTTCACGGTTGGGATGGTGTTCTTCGGCTTGCAAGCTAACCCCTTTTTCCTCCAAACATAACGATGGTCATTATGGCCAAACAGTTCTATTTTTGTTTCATCAGACCAGAGGACATTTCTCCAAAAAGTACGATCTTTGTCCCCATGTGCAGTTGCAAACCGTAGTCTGGCTTTTTTATGGCGGTTTTGGAGCAGTGGCTCCTTCCTTGCTGAGCGGCCTTTCAGGTTATGTCGATATAGGACTTGTTTTACTGTGTATATAGATACTTTTGTACCCGTTTCCTCCAACATCTTCACAAGGTCCTTTGCTGTTTTTCTGGGATTGATTTGCACTTTTCGCACCAAAGTACGTTCATCTCTAGGAGAGAGAACGCGTCTCCTTCCTGAGCGGTATGACAGCTGCGTGGTCCCATGGTGTTTATACTTGCATACTATTGTTTGTACAGATGAACGTGGTACCTTCAGGCATTTGGAAATTGCTCCCAAGGATGAACCATACTTGTGGAGGTCTACAACTTTCTTTCTGAGGTCTTGGCTGATTTCTTTTGATTTTCCCATGATGTCAAGCAAAGAGGCACTGAGTTTGAAGGTAGGCCTTGAAATACATCCACAGGTACACCTCCAATTGACTCAAATGATGTCAGAAGATGATCAGAAGCTTCTAAAGCCATTACATCATTTTCTGGAATTTTCCAAGCTGTTTAAAGGCACAGTCAACTTAGTGTATGTAAACTTCTGACCCACTGGAATTGTGATACAGTGAATTATAAGTGAAATAATCTGTCTGTAAACAATTGTTAGAAAAATTACTTGTGTCATGCACAAAGTAGATGTCCTAACCGACTTGCCAAAACTATAGTTTGTTAACAAGAAATTTGTGGAGTGTGTTAAAAGTTTTAATGACTCCAACCTAAGTGTATGTAAACTTCCGACTTCAACTGTATGTATGCATGCATATATATGTAACCCAAAAAGTGTTAAAACAAATCAAAATATATTTTATATTTGAGATTCTTCAAAGTAGCCACCCCTTGCCTTGATGACAGCTTTGCACACTCTTGGCATTCTCTCAACCAGCTTCATGAGGTAGTCACCTGTAATGCATTTCAATTAACAGGTGTGCCTTGTTAAAAGTTAATTTGTGGAATTTCTTTCCTTCTTAATACGTTTGAGCCAATCAGATGTGTTGTGACAAGGTAGAGGTGGTATACAGACGATAGCCCTATTTGGTAAAAGACCAAGTCCATATTATGGCAAGAACAGCTCAAATAAGCAAAGAGAAATGACAGTCCATCATTACTTTAAGACATGAAGGTCAGTCAATACAGGACATTTCAAGAACTATGAACGTTTCTTAAAGTGCAATCACAAAAACCATCAAGTGCTATGATGAAACTGGCTCTCATGAGGACCGCCACAGGAATGGAAGACCCAGAATTACCTCTGCTGCAGAGGAGAAGTTCATTAGAGTTACCAGCCTCAGAAATTGCAGCCCAAATAAATGCTTCAGAGTTCAAGTAACAGACATCTCAACATCAACTGTTCAGAGGAGACTGCGTGAATCATGCCTTCATGGTCGAATTGCTGCAAAGAAACCACTACTAAAGGACACCAATAAGAAGAAGAGACTTGCTTGGGCCAAGAAACATGAGCAGTGGACATTAGAGCGGTGGAAATCTGTCCTTTGGTCTGATGAGTCCAAATTTGAGATTTTTGGTTCCAACCACCATGTCTTTGTGAGACGCAGAGTAGGTGAACGGATGATCTCTGCATGTGTGGTTCCCACCGTGAAGCGTGGAGGAGGAGGTGTGATGGTGCTTTGCTGGTAACACTGTCTGTGATTTATTTAGAATTCAAGGCACACTTAACCAGCATGGCTACCACAGCATTCTGCAGTGATACACCATCCCATCTGGTTTGTGCTTAGTGGGACTATATTTGTTTATCAACAGGACAATGACCCAACCCACCTCCAGGCTGTGTAAGGGCTATTTGACCAAGAAGGAGAGTGATGGAGTGCTGCATCAGATGACCTGGCCTTCACAATCACCCGACCTCAACCCAATTGAGATGGTTTGGGATGAGTTGGACCGCAAAGTGAAGGAAAAGCAGCCAACAAGTGCTCAGCATATGTGGGAACTCCTTCAAGACTGTTGGAAAAGCATTTCAGGTGAAGCTGGTTGAGAGAATGCCAAGAGTGTGCAAAGCTGTCATCAAGGCAAAGGGTGGCTACTTTGAAGAATCTAAAATAGAAAATATATTTTGATTTGTTTAACACTTTTTTGTTTACTACATGATTCCATATGTGTTATTTCATAGTTTTGATGTCGTCACTATTATTCTACAATGTAGAAAATGTAGTACAATGTAGTAAAAATAAAGAAAAACCCTTGAATGAGTAGGTGTCCAAACCTTTGACTGATACTATAGATATGGGGCGGCAGGTAGCTTAGTGGGTAAGAGCGTTGTGCCAGTAACCGAAAGGTCGCTGGTTCTAATCCCCGAGCCGACTAGGTGAAAAATCTGTTGATGTGCCCTTAAGCAAGGCACTTAACCCTAATTGCTCCTGTAAGTTGCTCTGGATAAGAGCGTCTGCTAAATGACTCAAATGTAAATATAGAGATATAGAGATATGTGTCGGAGGAAACACTGTTCAACTGACGACCGAAGTCAGCCTGCAGGCGCCTGGCCCACCACAAGGAGTCGCTAGAGGCCAAACCCTCCCCTAACCCGGACGATGCTGGGCCAATTGTGCGCCGCCCTATTGGACTCCCGGTCACGGCCGGTTGTGACACAGCCAGCCTGTAGTGCCTTAGACCGCTACTTCCAATAGAAGTAGTTGATTCGGGACACATTATTTGAAAAATACATGTGTACTTTATTATTTGTTATTTAAATACTTATTTTCTGTGTATTTTAGTATTTTCAAATAATGTGGCCCGAATCAACTACTTCTATTGGAAGTAGCGGTCTAAGGCACTACAGGCTGGCTGTGTCACAACCGGCAGTGACCGGGAGTCCAATAGGGCGGCGCACAATTGGCCTATCGTCGTCCGGGTTAGGGGAGGATTTGGCCGGGGGGCTTCACTTGGCTCATCGCGCTCTAGCAACTCCTTGTGTTGGGCCAGGCGACTGCAGGCTGACTTCGGTCGTCAGTTGAACAATGTTTCCGCCGACACATTGGTGCAGCTGGCTTCCAGGTTAAACGAGCGGGTGCTAAGAATCGCGCCTTGGCAGGTCATGTTTCGGAGGACGCATGACTCGACCTTCGCCTTTCCCGAGCCTGTTGGGGAGTTGCAGCAATGAGACAAGATTGTAATCACAAAATTGGGGAGAAAAAGGGGGTAAAAAAATGTTATACTAATATTTTTAATTATTTTCTAATACTTATTACAAATACTATTTTCAAATCTCTCATTCTCATTGAAGCAAATCTAAGAAGCAGTAAATCTGTTCTATGTGCACTATTTCTATGCTTCCCATTCTTAAGTTTCGTTTTTTCATCTTTTACTTTCGGTTTTGTACGCTTCAAACAGCTGAAAATACAATATTTTTGGTTATGGAAAAGATCTTTCACAGGGGTTTAGATGGTACAATGATTCTCTACACTATACTGTACTTGCTTGTTTTGTCACAAACTGAAATAACTACTTGAATTTTAGAATTTTAGCAATCAGGAAATGGCTGAGCGATTTCTGCATAGTGCATCTTTAAATGCATTTGTGTATTTTCAAACTTTCCAAGTGTATTTCCAAATATTTTCCAATATTCAACTACTTGTCTTTTCAAATAAAAAATATCTAAATACTTACTTCCAAATATCTTTGAAAGTAATTGTGTGACTGACCTATGCCAGCAAACTGCGAGTCAAGTCCGAGGGTGAGCAACATGAAGAAGAAGAGGATGGACCAGAGAGGAGAGATGGGCAGCTTGGATAGGGCATCAGGGTACGCAATAAATGCAAGGCCAAAACCTACACACACACGCACACACACGCTTTGTTAGTGTTTGTTAAGTGGCATTTATGTCAGTAAGGTAAAGCTAAATACAGTACAGTGGTGTACTACTGACCTGCCTGGGCCACCTCTGATACAGGCTTTCCGTATACATGAGCCATGTGACCTAGGATGGAGAAGATGGCGAAGCCTGCAAACACGCTGGTACCTATAGAGTGACATTAAACAGGAAAGGAAAAACGATGTACTGGAACACAATGAAACCATTGAAACTGTGTTCTTCAATGTACATTTCCTACTTTATATGATTCCATTAGCATCTGTCTGGTGTGTGTGAGTTGCGTTTGTGTCATACCACAGTTGGTGAGGCAGACAGTCAGTGCGTCCTTGAACACATTGTTGTGGAACTTGTTATAAGAAGACAGGGCTGTGACACCACCCCACGCTATTGACAGAGAATAGAAGATCTGTGTGGCTGCATCTCTCCACACCTTCCAGAAAGACATAGTATTTAGTTACTTCATCAATCAATCATATGTGTATTTTGAGTTGACAGGTAAGAGGTTAGGCTCTGACCTCTGCCTCGCCCAGTTTTGTGAGGTTGGACTGGGAGCCAATGTAGAACTCGATTCCGTCTCTTGCGCCCTCTAGTGTAACTCCCCGGATCAGCAGGATCAGCAACACCACATAGGGAAATGTAGCGGTGAAATACACCACCTGGGGACAGACACACAAAAATATTAGAGAGACAACACACACACACACACACATCCGAGAGACACACATTAGAAAGAAAGGACCAACTCTCACACACTAGTGGTGAGTGGGTCAGCTGTTTGTTCACCCACACCCACCCGCAATTGCTAATAACCCATCCGCAACCTCCTGACTATATGTGATAGAGTGAAAATCTGAGGCGCGCACCAGACCCTAACCCGCTAATATAGAATATACTGTAGGCTACCGTCAGAGACGGCAGTACTTCTTTTTTTTTAACTATCTTTTTGCCTGATTTTAGATATGTTTCTGCTTATAATTTCCGACGTTTTGGTAGGCTATTTGTAAGTCAACGTGCAGCTTCTCTTCTGTCATTATGTTGCCCAAGAAGAATAAGTAAACCCTTGCTCACCAGAATAATGTCATAAATCGATAGAATGAATGCTTCAATCTAGTTGACGACGGTAAAGTTCTCCGTCAATTCTGATACTTCCATGGAGCAAAGACGTTTAGGGACCGGGGAGAAAATGAAATAACTTAAACAAACTGGAAAGATTTTCTGTGTAAAATTTCCAAATGACATCAGTTTGACCGGTTGTAATGAAATAGAAAGCTGTGAAAACGACCCAACATGTTTCTGATAAGATTTCAGTTCAGCTTGGATGCATATTTTATGTGGTTGAAATACTATCAGCTTTTATGATGCTGATATAGATAGATACAGTCTGTCGCGGTTCTAACTGCGGATTCGCATTCTCTCAAGATTATGAAATAAATAAATTATATTTCTCCCTCCTGTTTCTGACTAAAAATTGCCTACATTTGGTGTATCATTTTACTGCAAGACATTTTTAATTCTGCAGGACTTAATAAGGCTAAGTGAGAAGTTATAGACCTACAGTCAGTGTCCAGATTTCAGTTTCCATTTAACCCATCTGAACAGTAGGCTACAGTTCCCTTGACGTGCCATAAGCCTATTTGAAGTCCCGGTCTTGTGACTGTCAAATTTGTATAGTGCCTCACAATCATCACAAATAACATAGCTGGCACTGCTGTCATCCTCTTTTACCACTTCACCAAATCTTCCCCAAACATTACTTTTTTGGCCCTCCCTTCTCTTTATTTTCAACTCTCCATTTCGCAGCTTTTTTCTTATTGAAATAAACTCAGACATTGTAATTTTTTTCCTCTGTGGATCGACGTTTCCAAATGCATTTGGCGATTGGCATGTAAGCTATTTGGTGCACTTACAGTAAGGCTCTAAAGCTTAGGTTTATGCACTAATGCCAGCTAGCCTAAAATAATTAAAGGTATTGTTTTCTCCTTATTCAATATTTCATGACCCTAAACCTGCCCGCCCCATGGATATAACCACGGCGACTGTGGGTTATGAGTCAACCCACGCATCACTATCACTACTACACACACACACAAACAGGAAATGGATCTGGGTCATACAGACTTTTCCTGAAGACTTGATGCCTTTGTAAAGGGCAGCAGCGATGAGCAGCCATCCCAGTAGCAGACAGAGAGCCAGATGCCAGACCACCGGACCGGTCTCATCCAGACCACTAGACCTTTGTAAGGCCACCAGGCTGGGGATGGACAAAGACAGATTGACCACCTTACAGACCGGCACATCTTACAGTCAGACACAGTTTAAACACAACATTATACAGACAACCTGGCATTCAACACAACCTGTGCGACCTCTGAAGTATTTTCAACTGTGAGTGAAATTGAAACAGAATCAAGGCAAAGTGTGTATGTATGTATGTGTGTGTGTTACTCACTCCCAATACTGTTCGCTGGGGCTCTGTACTGGGATGTTGAATATGTTTTCCTTTGGGCAGGTCTCATTCTCCCACAGTGTCATGTTGGCTGCAATTACTGGTACACTCCAGTTGGCAGCTGGAGTAATGTTGCACACTTCTGTAGAGGTCAGAAGCCCTTGGTCAGAGTGGTAAAGTTACTGGGCACTCTTTTCAGGTTCACCTGGGTCGTTTTCATTTAAGCATATCATGGAAAACGTTTTTAAATGTTAGGCAACGTAAAATATTGGTCCAGGTTCTTTTGTTTTGAGACTAATTAAAACGATGGAAGAGCAAAAGCTGCACAACAGGGAAACTTCACTACATCTTTCAATGTGACACTATGTTATAAAACAGGTACCTCTAGGTGTGAGGCTACAGTTGCTGTTGGACCAGTAGAAACAGTCACTCCATGGCAGAGGGGACTGGAAGGAGGCAAACATGTAGTAGAGACTGTAGGCAATGATGACATTGTAGTAGATGCCTACTAACGTACTTACCAAAACCATAGCTACACCCACACCTGGAGAGGATAGGGAAAGGGAGAGGGAGAAGGAGAAGGAGAGAGGGAGAAGGAGAGAGGGAGAAGGAGAAGGAGAGAGGGAGTGGGAGAGAGGGAGAGGGAGTGGGAGAAGGAGAGAGGGAGAAGGAGAAGGGGAGAGAGGGAGTGGGAGAAGGAGAGAGGGAGAGGGAGTGGGTGAGAGGGAGCGGGAGACGGGTTAGATGTTTATCATCAAGGAGCGTTCTTCAATATTTGAATTTGGAATTTCAATTCACTTCCTGAATAGATTGAATTGTCCCCATCCCTGATAGAAAAGTATCTTTATTGACAAGACATACGGGTCTGTGAAGTTCCATCTTTATCACATACTGATTCAGCCTGAAGCAAACAGCCAGAACCAGTGCTTCCTGGTATACTGGTCAACCTGTCACGTTGTAGTTCCTCATCTTAAGATGTATCTAAATCAAGGAAGTCCCATTAAGGTAAACATTCTCTTTTCCAAGGAAGACGTGGCAGAGAACACATGATAAGTGAGACATTCTACGGTACGATGTATCCACCAAAGCACGCGCAAGAATAATTGCAGTGGCAATGTAAAAAAATTACACTGAACAAAAATATAAAACGCAACAAGCAACAATTTCTAAGATTTTACTGAGTTACAGTTCATATAAGAAAAAGCAGTCAATGGAAATAAATTAATTAGGTCCTAATCTATGGATTTCACATCACAGATATGCATCTGTTGGTCACAGATACCTTTAAAAAAAAGTAGGGGCGTGGATCAGAAAACCAGTCAGTATCAGGTGTGACCACCATTTGCCTCATGCAGCGCGACACATCTCCGTCACATAGAGTTGATCAGGCTGTTGATTGTGGCATGTGGAATGTTGTTCCACTCCTCTTCAATGGCTGTGCAAAGTTGCTGGAATTTGGCGGGAACTTGAACACGCTGTCGTACACGTTGATCCAGAGCATCCCAAACATGCTCAATGGTTGACATGTCTGGTGAGTATGCAGGCCATGGAAGAACTGGGACATTTTCAGCTGCCAGGAATTGCCAAATTCTCCAAAACATTCAATTCTCTGGCAAAAGCTCTGGTGGCCATTCCTGCAGTCAGCGTGCCAATTGCACGCTCCCTCAAAACTTGAGAAATCTGTGGCCTTGTGTTGTGTGACAAAACTAAACATTTGTGTGGCCTTTTATTGTCCCCAGCACAAGGTTCGCCTGTGTAATGATATACCACACTTATCAGGTGGATGGATTATCTTGGCAAAGGAAAAATGCTCACTAACAGGACGTAAACAAATTTGTGCTAAACATTTGAGAGAAATACGATTTTTGTGCTGATGGAACATTTCTGGGATCTTTTATTTCAGCTCATAAAAAATGGGACCAACACTTTACATGTTGCATTTATATTTTTGTTCAGTGTATATATGGATTGGTCACAAACAAGTATTACTAAGAAATTGCTTACATGCACACCCTAGACCAGTGTTTCTTAATCCTGGATCTGGGTGCACATTTTTGTTTATGCCCTAGCACTACACACCGGATTGAAATAATCAACTATTAGAATTAGGTGCGTTGCGTAGGTTTAGGGTAAAAACAAAAACCAGGATTTGGAAACACTACCCTATACAGTTTTATAACTAATCAATAGCAGTAGAGAAGGACTTGATCCAATATTGAGTAATGTCTTTACCGTGAGTCAATAAAAGTGCACCATAAATGTGTTCTGTGTTTGGCATACAGCAGCTAGAGGCCAGTCTGACAGAGTGACACATTAACCCACTGAGCTTGGGGCTTGGTAGGGTTATAGGTCAGCCCAGGGGCTGGGTACATACAGTAAATGGACTAGCAGCCTTATAGGGTTAGCCCTGGGGCTAGACTGATAGTTCCTCCAGCTCATACATAGAGTTTAAGTTCAGGTCATATGGTTAACCATTAGTACACTGTTCAAACAAACTTGAGACCATTTTCCTCTAAGGTCAATAAGGCTGATCCAGTGGTGTAATGGGCTGGCTGCTCACACAAAATGTGAATGGATGAGTTCCTAGTAGTGGAAAAACCAGTCGTACAGCCGGTCCCAATTCACTCCTTACCCATTACCTTTGGCCCTTACCCTTCAATGTCTGCAGATCTGAAGAGCCTGGCTAGGTATAAGCAGTAGTGGTGGGGGTTCCAAAAAAAATAGCTTACACCTTACATACTGTATCTGCAAACATTGAAGGGTTGAGACCAAGAGTAATGGGTAGACAGTGAATTGGGACCGGTATGGGCTAAGGGGCTAAATTAGGGGTACGAGGTACAAGGGTTAGTCTTACCCTGAAATATGGGCAGAGCTCTCCACACGTTGACGGGGCCTTGGCTGCAGAACTGACCGAAGGAACTCTCCAGGAAGAACATAGGTATACCAGCAACAGCCAACATGATGACATACGGGATGAGGAAAGCACCTAGAGAGAGAGAGGAGAGAGAATTTGACACTGTGATAACAAATCCAGGAATATGAGGTAGTCAGTGAATGGTTGGAGCGTATATGGGCTTAAAACTCCAATAAATACGATAATCTGAACTGTACCTTTAAGAACGTTCTGCCATGGTCACGTTTAGAAGTGTGATTATAGGGCAGGATTCCCCAATAGGCGGCCCGCAGGCCAAATTTGGACGGCAGGTGATTTTATTTGGCCCCCCAAGTTCTGACAATTATCATTTTTTGGGACATAAGACTAAAATCATCAGGAAATGAGCTTCAAGTGATTTTAATTTAGGAAACATGTTGCCATGTACACCCACGCATAAATAGAGGCATGTGAGCTTATCCCATAGTTATCAAGGTTTTAAATGATTCTGTTTTTGTCAAATACTTGATCTGTTTAAGATTCTTGCGGTCAATTTGCAGTGTACAAATTATTTATAACTATGTTTCGGCCCCCGACCATCTGCTCAAGGAAAAATCGGACCACGGCTGAATGCAACTGGGGAACCCTGTTATAGGGTACTGAGTTCCTATTGAACAGTGGACAGGTGTGTCATTAGTGCACACTAAGCAAGCTTAGGTCAGTGTGTGTGTGTGTCAGTAGAGGCTCCTCAGAGGAGGAAGGGGAGGACCATCCTATTCAGTGAATTTCAGAAAGAAATGATTTTTACATAAAACTATACTAAATATATTAATGTTATCAAATTAATGATTAAAACACACTGTTTTGCAATGAAGGTCTACAGTAGCCTCAACAGCACCTTCTAGGGTATAATAATGGTGTAGCCGGAGCAAAGATATTTTCCGTCCTCCTCTGGGTACACTGACTTCAATACAAAACGTAAGAGGCTCATGGTTCTCACCCACTTCCATAGACTTACACAGTAATTATGATGACTTCCGGAGGACGTCCTCCAACCGATCAGAGCTCTTGCAGCATGAACTGACATGTTGTCCATCCAATCAAAGGATCAGAGAATGAATGTAGTACTAAAGGCATAAGCTACAGCTAGCTAGCACAGCAGTGCATAAAGTGTGGTGAGTAGTTGGCTCAGAGATAGACAATAGTTGAACAGTTTTGAACAAATTCATTTCTTTAAAAAAATATGGATAAGCAGTTGTTTTGTTTCTTCCTCTTAGTTTACCTTTCACTCACTTAGACAGCTAATTTAGCCTACTCAACAACCTGACTCAAACACAGAGGAATGCTATTTATGTTAGCTAGCTGGCTAAGGCTATCCAACACTGAAACTCTTCCAAGTCAAGGTAAGCTTTCGGGTTTATAAAGGTATTGCCACCGGTGACCGCCAGGCTAACTACTTGCTGTACACTGTACTCCGTGATTGTACACATAGATTGGATTGTGGGTTTACTAATGTGTTAGTTCTAGTTTCTTCAAGTGCAGTTGCAAAAACCATCAAGCGCTATGATGGAACTGGCTCTCATGAGGACCGCCACAGGAATGGAAGACCCAGAGTTACCTCTGCTGCAGAGGAGAAGTTCATTAGAGTTACCAGCCTCAGAAATTGCAGCTCAAATAAATGCTTCACAGAGTTCAAGTAACAGACACATCTCAACATCAACTGTTCAGAGGAGACTACGTGAATCAGGCCTTCATGGTTGAATTGCTGCAAAGAAACCACTACTAAAGGACACCAATAATAAGAAGAGACTTGCTTGGGCCAAGAAACACGAGCAATGGACATTAGACTGGTGGGAATGTGTCCTTTGGTCTGATAAGTCCAAATTTGAGATTTCTGGTTCCAACCGCCATGTCTTTGTGAGACGCAGTGTGAGTGAACGGATGATCGCCGCATGTGTATTTCCCACCGTAAAGCATGGAGGAGGTGGTGGTGTTATGGTGTGGGGGTGCTTTGCTGGTGACACTGTATGTGAATTATTTAGAATTCAAGGCACACTTAACCAGCATGGCTACTACAGCATTCTGCAGCGATACGCCATCCCATCTGGTTTGGGCTTAGTGGGACTATCATTTGTTTTTCAACAGGACAATGACCCAACACACCTCCAGGCTGTGTAAGGGCTATTTGACCAAGAAGGAGAGTGATGGAGTGCTGCATCAGATGACCTGGCCTCCACAATCACCCGACCTCAACCCAATTGAGATGGTTTGGGATGAGTCGACCGCAGAGTGAATAAAAAGCAGCCAACAAGTGCTCAGCGTATGTGGGAACTCCTTCAAGACTGTTGGAAAAGCATTCCAGGTGAAGCTGGTTGAGAGAATGCCAAGAGTGTGCAAAGCTGTCATCAAGGCAAAGGGTGGCTATTTGAAGAATATCAAATATATTTTGATTTGTTGAACACTTTTTTGGTTACTACATGATTCCATATGTGTTATTTCATAGTTTTGATGTTTTCACTATTATTCTACAATGTAGAAAATACTAAAAATAAAATAAAAACCCTTGAATGGAGTAGGTGTTCTAAAACTTTTGACCGGTAGTGCACGTTTCTTAGAAGTAGTTTTCACATAAAACTTTATATGTCCGAACTCAGAATCAAATATGCTTCCCAAACATAACATGTTCGCTGTGGTAGAACGTTTATTTTGATTGGCGATTTTTTTGCATTTATCAGAGTGCCATCAGCTAGCCTGATTTCAGATGTGTCCATGTAAACAGGATTATTAGGGAAATCGTTCTTCTTGCAAAGCGTGTAAATGTTTTAATCAAACTATTATAGTAATCTGACTATCCACAATAATTGCATTATTGTGTGCATGTAACCGCACTCAATGATGTAGGCTGTGTAGCGGTTAGCAGTTAGTGGTTATGGTATGAAGGTTTGACTTAGATACGTTTTTTCGCCTAGTCAGACAACTGTTGTGTTGTGCACTGAATACCAAGCAAAGGGAAAAGGTGAGAGGAGAGAGAGCGTAGATGTGAGAACGAATTATTCAACAAGCAAAGTGATGATACTGTATGTGGCTGCTATGAAAGTGAACGGGTGATCGGGGGTGTATTCATTCCACCGATTCTGTTGCAAAACATTTCTTAAACGGAAGGAAACGGAACAAAACGGGGGATGAAACTAGCGGAATTTGTCCAGTAGAAACTCTAGTTTTAGACGTTCCGTGTTGCCACTGTTTGGACTAGTGACTACACCCCAGATCAGCTAGATTCTGGCAAGAGTGTGCAAGGCTGTATTGAATGTGCCACCGTCTGTCACCTTGATTACTCCAATTTGTTTCAACCTGTACACCTATGTTATAAACTTTCATTTTTAGGCTAGGTTGTAGCAACCTCATGATGGGTATTGGGCAAATTCGAGTATCATGTAGTAGACTAAACATTGAGCTTGGGTGAATGGAATATGAATGACAAGTCATCCAATAGGCTGTAATAGAAATTAGGCCATGCTCAAAAATCATCATCCCTAATCTTAAACTGCACCGACCGCCACTGGTGTGTGTGTGTCCACTTACCTCCTCCATTCTTATAGGCCAGGTAGGGGAACCTCCATACATTCCCCAGACCCACAGCGTAGCCAATCATAGACAACATGTATTCCCTCTTATTTGTCCAGTTCCCCCTGTCAGTATTCTCATCATTGCTGCCCACATGGGAGTCCTGCTGCTGCTTCTTCTCATGGTCATCCTTAACCTGTATCACAGACAGCCAGACAGACGAACGCACGCACGCACGCACGCACGCACGCAAGCACATAGTTAGTGAGAGCATATTTCATAAAGCTTAGAAGCCAATGTCAAGCCATTGTTACATACAAACAACACACTGGAATTCGTTTTTATTAATTTACAGTGAATAACACCCCAACCATGACAGAGAAGTAGGCTATACAGTTAAATTATATATTTTCCGCAAACAACCATGACATAATTGACTGCTACACCAAGAGAGTTGCATATCATCCTACCGTGTCAGGGGCCGCGGGGTTTTTAAATATTACGTCTGTGAAACTGCTCCAATATTTCCTCATTTTGCTGCTGTCTGTCGCGTGCAGAAGTGATGTGTGCGAAACGTTTGTTTGGGACAGACAGGTACACAGGTATTTAAACTCCCGTGAGCCTGAGTGACAGACAGGTCACCCTCGTCTCTCTAGCCAATCACCGCTCTGCTCCAGAAGTCACCTGCATTACCGCCATACCAAATTATAGCTTGAGTGAAACGTTTGAAACCGCGTTCGTCCGCATGCGTGTGTGTGCGTGCATGTGCGCGTGCGTGTTTCCAACCAGAGGACAAAGACATACTTACAGTATTTTCTCGTAAAGAGACCTAAATCCTTCATTCTTTTGTCCTCTTTCAGATATGACTAACCCAATTGTCATACTTGAGTAAAAATAAAGATACCTTAATAGAAAATGACTCAAGTAAAAGTGAAAGTCACCCAGTAAAATACAACTTGAGAAAAAGTCTAAAAGTATTTGGTTTTAAATATACTTAAGTATCAAAAGTAAACGTAATTGCTAAAATGTACTTAAGTATAAAAAGTGGTAAGTATAAATTATTTCACATTCCTTATATTAAGCAATCCAGAAGGCACGATTTTCTTGTTTTTTATTTATTTACAGATAGCCAGAGGCACACTCCAATACTCAGGCATCATTAAAAACGAAGCATTTTTGTTCAGTGACTCTGCCAGATCAGAGGCAGTAGGGATGACCAGGGATGTTATGATAAGTGTGTGATTTTGACCATTTTCCTGTCCTGCTAAGCATTCGAAATGTAACTAGTACTTTTGGGTGTCAGGGAAAATGTATGGAGATTCATTTCTTAAGGAACGTAGTGGAGTAAAAGTAAAAGTTGTCAAAAATATAAATAGTAAAGTAAAGTACAGATACCCCAAAAAACGACTTTAATGTATTTTTACTGAAGTACTTTACACCACTGACTATTTCTAGTGGGTTTATTCTATCAATGCCAAACAAAACAGGTTGCCTATAATTTTGGTCAATGACTGAATAGGGTCAAGTGCTTTGTAGATTGTTTTCTAGTGTGGGTATGTGCTTATGTGTGTGTCTGCACGTGCATGTGTTTTGGATGCATGTGTGGATCCATGTGCATGTCTGTGTGTGTGTGTGTGTGTGTGTGTGTGTGTGTGCCTGTGAATGTGTGTGTTAGCCCAATAATGTACTGTTAAGGAGTGTAGGCGAGCCTACTTCTTTAAAGTCCAAGGACCTTACATGTTATGTTCAGAGGTAAACTGGCTCTGGCAGCAAAAACAGCCAAATACTCCATCTAAACGTGAATGCTACATATACACTATTTTGACACAGTTGCAGCCAACAGGTCCCCTGTAGCTCAGTTGGTAGAGTATGGTGCTTGCAACGCCAGGGTTGTGGGTTCGTTTCCCACAGGGGACCAATATGAAAATGTATGCACTCACTAATTGTAAGTCGCTCTGGATAAGAGCGTCTGCTAAATGACTAAATTGTAAAAGTATTTTTTTGGTACAACACTTTTCTGGTGTCCTTCTTCCAATACACACAGGTGTTCAGAGACTCTAGATAGCTAATTAGAACAGATGGTTGCCTCTGTCTTCCGTAAACAAGTGCTGTAACGTTGAAATATAGCCATGGTCGAGAGCCATGCATCTGCCGAAAACACAACCCAATCAAGCCGCATTGCTTCTTGACACACTGCTCACTTAACCCGGAAGCCAGCCACACCAATGTGTCATAGGAAACACTGTACAGCTGGCAACCGAAGTCAGCGTGCATGCGCCCAGCCCACCACAATAGCACAATGGGACAAGGACATCCCAGCCGGCCAATTCCTTCTCCTAACCCAGACGACGCTGGGCCAAATGTGCGCCGCCTCATGGGTCTCCCAGTCGCAGCCGGCTGCGACACAGTCTGGGATCGAACCCATGTCTGTAGTGACGCATCTAGCACTGCGATTCAGTGCCTTAGACCACTGCACCACTCAGGAGGCCCTGGTGTGTAGTAATTTAACCTTTTGTTTTATGAAAAATTATATGACAGTAAACTTCCAAAGGTTTCCAAAGCCGTATCACAAGCAAGGGTTATTAACATGTAGACAGAGAGTGTCGGGACTATTGTACACAGTCCTGCACCATCGTCAATTCTTGAGCTGAGAACCACAGAGGGAGCCCTCTTTGTTGAACAAAAGCTACTGTGTGCCTATGTCACAGGATCAGATAGTGGTTGAGAATCATCTTGTAAAAACATACCTGCCTCACAAACAAATCTGGTTTGTGTGTTCTTTATGACTGCCATGGGTTAGCTGATTTCCTGGTAACTGTTTTGAAAAACATACTGATGGTGTTTTATGAATAATGTATTGATGCATTGCAACGGTATTGTAAACAATAAGAGAACCAGTGTTTTTTGTCTGGAATCTTTTGACTGATTCTATTGTGTTAGGGGATAGTGTCATATCTGTGTCTAATACAACTTTTCTCAAATACTAAGATATGTCATATCACTTTGGTGATGTATAACTGTAATACACCATCACTAAATACACCAACTTAGTTGCCTTGGACAATGCACATTTGTTTTCAAATTCATTAGAAGGTATTTTTGTATTTTATAAGCGAAAGCAGCAAGTACTCTTCCTGGGGTCCACACAAAACATAAAACATGACATAATACTGAACATTAAAAGACAAGAACATAACTACATACATTTAAAACAACACACATAGCCTACAAATCAGTACAGAAAATATCTAGGTCAAATAGGGGAGAGGCGTTGCGCCATGAGGTGTTGCTTTATCTGTTTTTTGAAACCAGGTTTGCTGTTCACTTGAGCAATCTCAGAAGGAAGGGAGTTCCACGCAATCATGGCTCTATATAATAGTGTACGTTTCCTTGAATTTTTACTGGATTTGGGAAGTGTGAAAAGCAGGGCCTAAAATGTACTTTGTGGTCCACCAGCCACTGTGGCAGGTAGATTAAAAAATCTACCAGCCACTCAGATTTCTTACCAGCCAAAATAATATTTTGTGTGCAACAATTACACCAACAAAACACCCCAAAATGGATGAGCATGCTTTGTAATGTTTCTTAAACAATACATGTATTACTAGTAAGAAGTAATGTGGTATATTGTTGAATTTAATTAAAATGTTTGTGACTTGAGTCTTTTAACCAAAATATCGGAGACAAACATTTTCATGTCTCCCTTTAAGGGCGGGAGGTTACCGTGGTAACGAGACTCCAGTTATGACTAGTAGCACCATTGTCTTCTCTTCCCTAGCAGTTGAAATTTAAACATTGAAAAACAACCTAACTTGTGAACAAAACAATGTAAATAGCCAAGAAACACAAGGACAAACTCTCACTTCAGTAGACTTTCATTTCAAGTTAATGAGACCAACTTTTATGCCTGTGTGTACTGCGCAGCACTTCTAAAAATGAATATTTCAATCATCTCTTCACATGTGCACAGCCCCCAGCCAGGCAGTGTTGCAGTGTGAGGTGGGATAGGCTATAGGATTCCTAGTTCTTTGACTTTGTTCGATTAATTGACCAACTATGAAATTAAACGGTAGAAATACTTTGAAAACCGCTACTGCAGCATTTATTTAGCTATAAATGTGATCATACTTGACTATTTTTATTCACAAATGCGAATGAAATGTTCACACTGTGGAGCTCTGACCACACATGTTACCCGCCAAAGCCAAGATCTACCCACATTTGACAGGTGGGGGGTGTTAATTTTTGGCCCTGGTGAAAAGACCCCTGGTGGCGTGTCTGGTGGGGTAAGTGCATGTGTCAGAGCTGTATGTAAATTGACTATGCAAACAATTTGGAATTTTCAACACATTCATGTTTCTTATAAAAAGAAGAAGTGATGCAGTCAGTCTCTCCTCTACTTTTAGCCAAGAGAGACTCGCATGCATAATATTGATATTAGCTCTCTGATTACAGTGAAAAGCAAGACGTGCTGCTCTCTTCTCTGCCAGCTGCAGTTTTTCTAGGTCCTTCTTTGCAGCACCTGACCATATGACTGGGCAAAAATCAAGATAAGATAAAACTAGAGCCTGCAGGACATGCTTTGTGGAGTGTGGTGTCAAAAAAGCAGAGCATCTCTTTGTCACAGACAGACCTCTCCCCATCTTTACAACCATTGAAACAATATGTTTACAATCCAAGGTAACACCAAGTGATTTAGTCTCCTCAACTAGCTCAACAGCCACATTATTCATTATCAGATTCAGCTGAGGTCTAGAACTTAGGGAATTATTTGTAACAAATACAATGCTCTTAGTTCTAGAGATGTTCAGGACTAGTTTATTACTGGCCACCCATTCTACAACTGACTGCAGTTCTTTGTTTAGAGTTGCAGTGATTTCACTAGCTGTGGTTGCTGACGCATATAGGGTTGAATCATCAGCATTTATAAACACACAGGCTTTGTTTAATGCCAGTGGCAGGTCATTAGTAAAAATAGAAAAGAGTAGAGGGCCAAGAGAGCTGCCGCGCGGTACAACACACTTTACATGTTTAACATTAGAGAAGCTTCATTAAAGAAAACCCTCTGTGTTCTATTAGATCGATAGCTCTGTATCCACGATATGGCAAAGGTTGAAAAGCCTTAACACATACGTTTTTTCAACAACAAGTTATGGTCAATAATATCAAAGGCTGCACTGAAATCTAACAGTACAGCACCCACAATCTTATTATTATCAATTTATTTCAACCAATCATCAGTAATTTGTGTCAGTGCAATACATGTTGAGTGCCCTTCCCTATAAGCATGCTGAACGTCTGTTGTTAATTTGTTTACAGAGAAATAGCATTGTCAAAAACATTTTTTTGCAAATGTTTGCTAAGAGTCGTCAGCAAGCTGATTGGTCGGCTGTTAGAACCAATAAAAACTGCTTTACCATTCTTGGGTAGTGGAATGACTTTGGCCTCCCTCCAGGTCTGAGGATTTAAACAAATCTACAGACTCAGATAAAAAATATGACAAATAGGAGTGGCAATAAAGTCTGCTACCATCCTCAGTAGCTTTCTATCTAAGTTGTCAATACTAGGTGGGTTGTCATTATTGATGGACAACAATCATTTTTCTACCTCACCCACACTAACTTTAGAGAATTCAAAATTACAATGCTTTTCTTTCATTATTAGGTAATTTATGCATGAATGTGATGGCTCACAGTTTGTTGTTGGCATTTAATGCCTAAGTTTGCCTACTTTGCCAATGAAATAGTAATTAGAGTAATTGGCAACATCAAAAGATTTTATGAGAAATTAGCCATCTGATTCAATGAAAGATGGAGTTGAATTAGTCTTTCTGCCCATCATTTCCTTTAAAGTATTCCAAAACTTTTTTCCATCAACTTTATTCATGGTTTCATAATAAAATGTATTCTTTATTTTTGTTCAGTTTAGTCACATAATTTCTCAATTTACAGTTTTTGCCAAACAAATGTGCAGCCAGATTTATTCACCACTCTGTTTGCCTCGTCCCTCTCAACCATACAGCTTTTAAATTCCTTATCAATCCACGGGGCATTAACAGTGCTAACAGTCTATTTCTGGATGCTCCTCATTACACACATCAGACCAACAAATATTTTTTGTATCTTCAACATAGGAATCAGTACAAAACATTTTGTATCATCTCTTATACACTATGTTAGGCCCAGCCTTTGGAACTGTATTTTCTAGATATGGCCACTATATTATGGTCAGTACATCCAATGGACATGGATACACCTTTAGAGCAGAGTTCTGCAGCATTGGTAAAAATGTGATAAATACATGTGGATGATATAGTTCTTGTACTGTTTGTAAACACTCTGGTAGGTTGATTAACAACCTGAACCAGATTAAAGACACTGGTTACAGTGATAAGCTTCCTCTTGAGTGGACAGCTTGATGAAAACCAGTCTATATTCAGGTCACCCAGAAAATATAACTATCTGTTAACATCACACACATTATCAAGCATTGCACATATATTATCCAGATAATGAATGTTAGCACTTGGTGGCCTATAGCAGCACCCCAAAAGAAGAGACATTAGATGAGGCAGGTGAACGTGCAACTGAGTCTAAGATGATCAATATATGAATGTTATCTGAATTTTAGCAAGTTATTGATTTCATAAACCTTATTTCTAAGGCAACATTTAATATGTACAATGTTTTGCCCTTTCCTCGGTAGCTTATCGGAGATAGACATAATATGAAGAAAAAAAACACAAAGCATGACAAGAACATTGTCAATCAGGCACTTGTGAGTGTCAATTGGTGTATGTATGATGTGGGGCTGAAGCTATTGACCCAGAAACTAGGCTCTCTCACTCCTCCTAGTCTTTTGGGAGGGAGGGTGGACAATGAGTCGAAGTGGATGCACAGCTTCCGAGTAGTCTTCGTTAAGGAAGATGTTGGCTCCTCTCAAGAACAGCCATCTTGTTCTTACACCTTAGATTTATATTTTAGCAGACGCAACTTACAGGAGCAATTAGGGTTAAGTGCCTTGCTCAAGGGCACGTTGACAGATATATCACCTAGTTGGCTTGGGGATTTGAACCAGTGACCTTTCGGTTACTGACCAAATGCTCTGAACCGCTAGGCTACCGCTATCGGCCACCACCAATGTCAGGGAAGTGGTGAGAAGTATTGTTGATGTTCTCAGACTACCTGTAGCAGTAACAGCAGAGGCAGAGGAGGCGAGGCATGGGAAGAGAGGATGTGGTCCGATATACAGAGATACAGGATGTAGTCTACTGTAGTAGGCCTACAGGTTGGATGTGGTTCTCATAGCTGGGCTGTAAAGACAATAGTTTCCATGGCATCACAAATACACACAAGTATACAGTAAACAAGCAATTGGAATAATGTATATTCATCTATCATCAAATATAGTCTGATGAAGGAAAGGCACTTTTCAGGTTAGTTAAGCACTGAGTTACCTCATTTATCCATCATGCACTGCATCATTGTTGTGTATGTGAGCAAGGATGCAGTGAGTTCATTACACATATGCTGACACAGAGAGAGATGGTCACATTACAGTAGCAGCACCCTCATCATAGGATTAGACACACACACATACACACACACACACAGGCTACATCATGTTGTTGCCATTGTACAGGACACTGTATTTTTCCAAGACTCTGTTTACAGAGATTACAGCATGTTTTCAGTCTTAAACAGTCATTTTACGGTAATCCTGACCGCAGGAAACTAGTAAAGATAACAGACATGTTACACATCACCAAAGCCCCGTCTTAACCCTAAAAGCGCCAACATATTGTTCGTTTAAAGTTCATGGAGAGTCAAAATCACGTTTTTGATTAATTGGATGATATTTGAAGGAAACCAGATCAAAGTATTTTATCATAAAGTTACTGGACCCCCATGTCAAACACTTGGATTCATTATTAAGGGCACAAGGTGACCTCTCATTATAATACATCAACGGTAACATGATATTTTCTTACCTAATTTAAATAAGTACCATTTTACATTTTAGCAGACACTCTTATCCAGAGCAACTGCATACATTTTCAAATTTGTTCTTACTGGTCCCCCATCAGAAACTAACCCACAAACCTTGTGTTGCAAGTGCCATGCTCTACCAACTGAGCCACACTCATCCTGTCTTTTCAAACTTCCTGGTAGTTAGCCATGAGAGAAAAAGTACTTTTCAGAATGACTTAAAAGCGCCAACTGGGGTCATTTTGTTACCCCAAATTGGTAATCTGATGTCCTCACCTCTTCACTGTGATAGCTGATGTGTTTTGAACTTTCCATCACAACATACAGTAGCTGTCGTGGCATCACCCAGGTGGGTGATACACATTGGTGGTGGACAAGGTGTGTTTTCCCACCTTACCATTCAAAGCACTTACCTTGGGTATGACTGGAAGTGTGTGTTTCTGTGTGTGTGTGTGTGTGTGTGTGTTTGTGTTCCCGCGTATGTGCAAACATGTTTGTTTGTGCGTACTCCTTCAGCCGACGAATGATTGATGTGGCAATTAAGAACAGACAAAAGCTTCATTCTCCTGTGTGTGTCAGTCAGCCAAGCCAAGATCCCACTCTCTCCTGGCTGCATTCTCTCCACTCTGTCCTGCATTCCTCTCTATGTCCTGGTGCCCCACAGAGACATAGTTGGGTGATCGGGTCTCTGTCTCTGTCTCTGTCTCTGTCCTTGCCTCTGTCTCTGTCCCTGTCCCTGTCCCTGTCCCTGCCTCTGTCTCTCGTATAACATACATACTGCAGACCGTACCCAATGAAAGCTAATTTCTGGTTTTCGTCTGGCACTGTGGGTTTACAGTGGCACTCAAGTTAAATTTTTGTCCCAAAAACTATATTGACTTTGTGAAACAAGAGATTGAACCAAAACATTAACCCAAAATCAATAACCGGTTAAGTCTTAGTAAAACATGGATACCTTTATTAAGTCAATAAGAAAGCCCTGTAAAGGACATCGAAACACCCGGCCTTAGTCAATAATAATTCCAATACATGCAGTAGGCCTACATGTCTCTCCAATCATAAATCACAACAGTTACATCCCTAATCAGGTTAGGGCTGGAACACAGAGATTTGAGCCAATGGTTTTTCTCTGAGGCTCATATGTTAATAGACAACGTAAATGATGGACAGCCAACTGCCATTCGTCCATCATTTTTTCTGACCGTCAAAAAGTTGAAATGAAGTTGACTTTGGAAGCACTTTCAATATGCTTTGCAAATTCTATCTATTTCTAAAGTTTAGAAAACAACTTGACCTGATATGGAGATGTATGATAATGCCCTTTGAATGATATTAGTAAAACAAACAAAACCAAGATAAACTTGGTGGGCCTTTGTGTCTCATAACCCTCTGCTGCCCCTTGTTGGTGAGATTGGGGAATTGCAATGTGATGGTAAAGTGAGGACTGCTGGGTTGTCACTAGTTATCACAGCCACAGAGTCAAAATTGGCTATATAAAAAAATTCATGAAAGCAAAAATTAGCTTCTTGGTCTTCATTTAAGGTTAGGGTTAGGCATAAGTTTAGCAGTGTTGTTAAGGTTAGGGTTAAGGTTAGGGTTAGGTTTAAAATCAGATTATAGGAGAAGAAATTGTAGCTCAGTTGGTAGAGCATGGTGCTTGCAACGCCAGAATTGTGGGTTCAATTCCTGTCAAAGACATGCATGACTGCAAGTCATTTTGGATAGCAGCGTCTGCTAAATGGCTTATATATGATAGAAATAGGTGGGGGTTTAGCCATAATTATGACTTTGGGGCTGTGGTAACTAGTGACAATCAGACTGCTGCCCTCTGTTCGGGAAATAGGGTTGCAGATGTGTAGTGGAAATGCTGCATTCTGGTGGTGTTACACCTCGATGGTACTGCAGCCCGGTGGTGAGATGGGAGTGTTACACCTCGATGGTGTTGGCCAAGCGCAGACAAAGGACTGAGTTGGAGGGGACATCCCCGGTGCTGATCTCATTCCCATCCAGACGCACCGTCCTCAGTTTGGAGAAGTTCATCACGTCCACGGCACTACAGAAACTACCCAGGGTAAACTCTACAAAGAGAGAGGGAAGGAAGAGAAGAGACAGAAAGATATTGTTTAAATTGTGGCATTCAAACAACTTCAAAGTGCTGCTGGAATCACATCATTAGACTCTGGACATGTGTCCTACATGCAGCATAGTGTAAGGGTATCTGTGCACCACAGCCGCACTATGCTGCCCAGCCACATGAAGTGTCCCAAGGACCAGAAGCCTTACTGTAACCTACCCTTCCCCCCAACCTCAATGGAGCATTGTCATCATGGACTTCAATGGACAGCCAAGATGCTGTGTGCTCATACATGTGCATGTGTATGTTCTGCTTGCATGCATGCAAACATGCATACTATATACAATTTTAGGATATGAAATGTGGATGCTGTTGATCATCATGGGCCTCCGTAGTTCATGTCATGATGAGATGACGCTAGCTGATAAATCCGTTTTGATTATGCTTAATTAGGTTGTCAGACATCACTAATTACACACACCTTTAATGTGGTTGGCCTGCAGGTAGAGGTGCTCCAGCGTCTGGCTGACGAGGGGGATCCTCTCCAGCTGGTTAAAGCTGAGGTCCAGCTCCACCAGGCCAGTCACGTTGAAGGTGTTGGGGGGGATGCCCTTGTCCGTCAGCTGGTTGTGGCCCATGCGGATGTACTGCAGCTGGGAGAACTTACTGAGGAATCCCTCTGGGACAGCGCTAATGGCATTAGACTCCAGGTACAGCTGGTGGATGCGCTCTGGGAGGCTGTCTGGAACCTGGGGTGATCAATCAGTCAGTCAGTCAGTCAATAGATCACTCAATCAATAAAAATGTACTCATATAATGTGTTTTTACAAAAGCATTTTTCACTAAGTGATTCACAAAGAGAAGGCAGAAAAGTGAAATGCACACACACACAGACACGCACACACCCTCTACACTACGGTACCTTCTTCAGCTTGTTGCCGCTGACGTCGAGCAGTGTGAGTGAGTTCAACCCCCTAAGAGACGTGCCCATCTCCGTCAGAGCGTTGTCATGGAGATACAGGATGGTCAGGTTGTCCATGCCCTCCAGGGCCTCTGGCATTATCTAGGCAACCACAACAAAACAAACTTTATTGAAATGATTGCATAAAACAGTAAGGAAGCCCGGGATGCTTGTGGTCTTTCCAAGAGTGTGTTTTTTCACATGCCTCTTGGACACTTGATTGAAAAACATCTGGATGCACTTTACAATCAAAATAAAGACTGAATACAGATGAAGAAGAATAAAAGTGTTTGAAAGTGCAGCAGTGATGAAGGGTCTGAATGATGTTGTTACCTTGTTGATGTTGTTGTTGTTGAGTCTGAGGTCTCGTAGTGAGTGTGGCAGGTTGGGGGGAACACCAGTCAGGTTGTTATGTTGAAGGTACAGACGCTCCAACCCCTGCAGCTTGGCAAAAGCCTGGAATACAATGAGGATAAAAGTATGTTGTAATCTATGTATTGGTTGGTTGATCGAAGTGTAGTGTAGACTAGTGTAGTGTAGCCTAGTGTCGTATCGTATCGTGACGTGCTGTGACGTGTCGTGTTGTATAGAGTAACCTACCCTCTTGCCGATTTTGTCCGTAGACAGCGCGTTGTGATGCAACATGACCCAGACTAGGTTGGTGGCGTTGGCCAAGGCGGAGTCTGGCAGGGCGGTGATCTCGTTGTGCTGCAGGTACAGGTACTTCATCCTGGAGGGCACGGTGGGCATGGTTGTCAAGCCCCGCCCGTCACAGTACATAGCGATGGGGAAGGAGGGCGGGCAGTCACACTCCTCAGGACACTCCCCCCCGGTGGTGTCGGCCAATAGGGAGCCCTCGGCGTAACCGCGACCATGCAGGGCGGACAGCCAGAGAAACGGGTCCTGCCTGCCTGGCATGGCGAGGGATAGCGTCAGGATGCACGCCAAAAAGAACACACACACACCACGCATGGTCACACACACGCAGGAAAGAATTCACACAGAAGTCTGCTGCAGCTAAAAGGAGAGAAAGAGAGGGAAAAAATTTGAGGAGACTTACCCAGAGTTCAGAAATGTGAACCTACCTGAACATACTGGGAAAGACTCCAAATGATCATTGACCAACCTGACCCTACTGTACAAGAAAGGGGCCCAAAGAAATGAGAGAACATTGTAAAGGACCCATACTCTACCTTTGGGAGTTGAAACTCATAAATTACCATCAAGACGTTTCTCTGCCCCCCTTTGTAAAAACAACACATATGAAAGTGATGTATTCCTGCTGCCAGATCATTAGTACATAATGTACTCCTGGACTCTACACTATAACATCATTTTCTACATCTACTCTAATGGAGAATGACTGGAAAATATAGATGGACGTATCAAAACACCATAAACAGTCCCAAGTAAAATGTAATCTATCAAAATGTAATCTATCACCACATAAAAAGAGAGGAGAGCTACAGGGGATCAATTCCATGAACAACACAAACACACACACACACACACACACACACACACAAAACAGTTATGAAAACAAGCAAAAACACTAGATATACTGCATGTTAAATACTGTACGTTACTGCAGGGGCAGTATTTAAGGTTCTTTATTCATCAAGTAATGGATCCACTTGTAAAAAATATTAGAATATATAAATGAATGTACACTCTTAGCAAAAAGGGTTCCAAAAGGGTTCTTCGGCTGTCCCCACAGGATAACCCTTTTTGGTTCCAGGTAGAACCCTTTTTGATCCAGGTAGAACATTTTGGGTTCCATGTAGAACCTTCTGGGGAAAGGGTTCTACATAGAACCCAATAGGGTTCTACCTTGAACCAAAAAGTGTTCTTCAAAAGGTTCTCCAATGGGGACAACCGAAGAACCCGTTTAGGTTCTAGATAGCACCTTTTTTTCTGAGTGTAGTCTTTGTATACGTATCCACTCTGGTGCCAAACCAGCACTATGTACAGGGAAATGTGGAACAAGTATCCTTTGATGCAAAAAAGAAAAAGAAAAAAGATAGATGTTAGTTTATTTTCTGTTCTCCCCATTTCCTATAACATTTGGTTGTTTAAAACACACACACACACACATGCACACAAACAAGAAAACACACATACAATACTCATGCACACACAAACACACACACACACACACACACACCTACCTGATCAGTGAGAACCAGTCCCTCTTGACTCCCTCTTGAGAGGCTGTGCTGGACTGAGAGGGACTTTGCCAAACACTTTGTGAAAACCTCTCTCTCTCTCCTTGACTTCCTTCCCTCCTCCATCCCCCTCTCCACCCATCCATTCCATTCCTCTCGACCCCCCTCACTCTACTTTTGCTAGCGTCCCCCTGCCTTTTCTTCCCTCCCTCACCCTTTCCTGTTACTACACCCTACCCTGCCCATCTGCTCCCTCCTCTGCTGAGTGTCTCTGTTCTTGTCTCAACAGGCAAAATGTTTGGTTGTTCAGAACATATGAAGCTGTTCGCTGAAAGAAGCTGAATACTGCATATGGAAAACACACTTAGGTGCTGGACTCTACTGAGTCTGCAAAGCTGTTCAACCATGAAACTCAATAGAAACGGACCTAAATTAAGCCTGACGTAAAAGCATTCCTAAAAGACCACAGTATCGTCCTTCTCCTGCTCATCTTTGGCCTTTCTCTACTTTCCTCTCACGTTATCTCTCTCTTTCCCTGTCTGCCTGTTTTTATTTACATTTACATTTTAGTCATTTAGCAGACACTCTTATCCAGAGCGACTTACAGTATGTGAGTGCATACATTTTCATAATGGCCCCCCGTGGGAAACGAACCCACAACCCTGACGTTGCAAGCGCCATGCTCTACCAACTGAGCTTTTCCACTATCTGCCTCTCTTTATCTCTCTGCCCCTGTCTATCTCTCTCTGCCTCTGTCTATCTGTGCCTTTCTCTGTGCTTCTCTCTGGTAGATGTCAGGGTGGTAAGGGTTAAATGAAGGTGTCTGATTTTATGATCTCTTACCATGGGCCTCTTCCTCAATCTCCCTCTACTCTCTTCCACCGCTCCTCTCAATTCAATTTCAATTTCAATTTAAGGGCTTTATTGGCATGGGAAACGTATGTTAACATTGCCAAAGCAAGTGAAGTAGATAGTAAACAAAAGTGAAATAAACTATAAAAATTAACAGTAAACATTACACTCAGAAGTTCCAAAAGATTAAAGACATTACAAATATCATATTATGTATATATACAGAGTTGTAACAATGTGCAAATAGTTAAAGTACAAATCGGATAATAAATAAACATAAATATGGGTTGTATTTACAATGGTGTTTGTTCTTCACTGGTTGCCCTTTTCTTGTGGCAACAGGTCACAAATATTGCTGCTGTGATGGCACACTGTGGTATTTCACCCAGTAGATAAGGGAGTTTATCAAAATTGGGTTTATTTACTAATTCTTTGTGGATCACTATAATCTGAGGGAAATATGTGTCTCTAATATGGTCATACATTTGGCAGGAGGTTAGGAAGTGCAGCTCAGTTTCCACCTCATTTTGTGGGCAGTGTGCACATAGTGTGTCTTCTCTTGTCTTCTCTGCCTACGGCGGCCTTTCTCAATAGCAAGGCTATGCTCACTGAGTCTGTACATAGTCAAAGCTTTCCTTAAGTTTGGGTCAGTCACAGTGGTCAGGTATTCTGCCACTGTGGACTCTCTGTTTAGGGCCAAAAAGTATTCTAGTTTGCTCTGTTTTTTTGTTAAGTCTTTCCGATGTGTCAAGTAATGATCTTTTTGTTTTATTATGATTTGTTTGGGTCTAATTGTGTTGCTGTCCTGGGGCTCTGTGGGGTCTGTTGTGTTTGTGAACAGAGCCCCAGGACCAGCTTGCTTAGGGGACTCTTCTCCAAGTTCATCTCTCTGTAAGTGATCATTTGGAAATCACTTCCTTTTAAGTGGTTATAGAATTTAAAGGCTCTTTTCTGGATTTTGATCATTAGCGGGTATCGGCCTAATTCTGCTCTGCATGCATTATTTGGTGTTTTTCGTTGTACACAGAGGATATTTTTGCAGAATTCTTCATGCAGAGTCTCAATTTGGTGTTTGTCCCATTTTGTGAATTCTTGGTTGGTGAGCGGACCCCAGACCTCACAACCATAAAGGGCAATAGGTTCTATAACTGATTCAAGTATTTATAGCCAGTTCCTAATTGGTATGTCGAATTTTATGTTCCTTTTGATGGCATAGAAGGCCCTTCTTGCCTTGTCTCTCAGATCGTTCACAGCTTTGTGGAAGTTACCTGTGGCGCTGATGTTAAGGCCGAGGGATGTATAGTTTTCTGTGTGCTCTAGGGCAACGGTGTCTAGATGGAATTTGTATTTGTGGTCCTGGCAACTGGACCTTTTTTGGAACACCATTATTTTTGTCTTACTGAGATTTACTGTCAGGGCCCAGGTCTGACAGAATCTGCGCAGAAGATCTAGGTGCTGCTGTAGGCCTTCCTTCGTTGGGGACAGAAGCACCAGATCATCAGCAAACAGTAGACATTTGACTTCTCTATCCATCTCTCTTTTCCCAGTGGAGTCCTGCTGGTTTTGATGAGAGGAGATGGGATGGGCGGCTGTTAGGAGATAAGAAACAGCGAGAGAGAGAGAGAGAGAGAGAGAGAGAGAGAGAGAGAGAGAGAGAGAGAGAGAGAGAGAGAGAGAGAGAGAGAGAGAGATAGATAGAGAAGAGAGAGAGATATCCTGAGATATAGTTTGAAGTAGACGCTGATTAGATCATAAATCACCATATGACACCAGTATACCTAGGACAATGGCGAAGCAGCAGCGAAGCCAGCAAAAAATGTGAGGGGGCTCTTCCCCTTTTGTCTTTTTCTTACCCCGTCTTCTTTTTTTACCTCCCTTGTCTAGTTGGTCCCCTCACTTTTATTTCCGTTGTCTAGATATAATTCAGATAGGGTCAGTTTGTCCACATGGAAAAATAGATAAATAGCTCCTTCATATAGGACACTATGGGCAGAAGAGAAGGAGGGGGGATAAAGAGAGGGACCATACCTCAAACACTGTATTTTGATTACAGCCGTGCCCATTTAGCTTGCAAGCATCATCATTTTAGCATCATTTGCTATCTATATATAGTGCCATCAGAAAGTATTCATACCACTTGACTTATTGCACATTTTGTTGTGTTACAGCCTGAATTCAAAATGCAGTAAATTGATTTTTTTCTCTCACCCATCTACACACAATACCCATTAATGACAAAGTGAAAATATGTTTTTAGACATTTATTGAAAATGAAATACAGAAATATCTCATTTACATAAGTATTCACATCCCATTGCTATGACACTCCAAATTGAGCTCAGGTGCATCCAATTTCCTTTCATCATCCTTGAGATGTCACAACAACTTGATTGGCGTCCACCTGTGGCCAATTCAATTGTTTGGACATGATTTAGAAAAGAAACACAACTGTCTATATAAGGTCCCACAGTTGACAGTGCATGTCAGAGCAGAAACTATACCATGAAGTCCAAGTAACTGTCCGTAGATCTCCGAGATGGAATTGTAATGAGGCATACACTACCGTTCAAAAGTTTGGGGTCACTTAGAAATGTCCTTGTTTTCCATGAAAACATACATGAAATTAGTTTGAATAGGAAATATAGCAAAATGCATAGGAAATGTAGTAATTGACAAGGTTAGAAATAATGATTTTTAATTGAAATAATAATTGTGTCCTTCAAACTCTGCTTTCGTCAAAGAATCCTCCATTTGCAGCAATTACAGCCTTGCAGACCTTTGGCATTCTAGTTGTCAATTTGTTGAGGTAATCTAAAGAGATTTCACCCCATGCTTCCCGAAGCACCTCCCACAAGTTGGATTGGCTTGATGGGCACTTCTTACGTACCATACGGTCAAGCTGCTCCCACAACAGCTCAATAGGGTTGAGATCCGGTGACTGTGCTGGCCACTCCATTATAGATAGAATACCAGCTGACTGTTTCTTCCCTAAATAGTTATTGCATAGTTTGGAGCTGTGCTTTGGGTCATTGTCCTGTTGTAGGAGGAAATTGGCTCCAATCAAGCGCCGTCCACAGGGTATGGCATGGCATTGCAAAATGGAGTGATAGCCTTCCTTCTTCAAGATCCCTTTTACCCTGTACAAATCTCTCACTTTACCACCACCAAAGCACCCCCAGAACATTACATTGCCTCCACCATGCTTGACAGATGGCATCAAGCACTCCTCCAGCATCTTTTCATTTGCTCTGCGTCTCACAAATGTTCTTCTTTGTGATCCAAACACCTCAAATTTCGATTTGTCTGTCCATAACACTTTTTTCCAACCTTCCTCTGTCCAGTGTCTGTGTTCTTTTGCCCATCTTAATCTTTTATTTTTATTGGCCAGTCTGAGATATGGCTTTTTCTTTGCAATTCTGCCTAGAAGGTCAGCATCCCGGAGTCGCCGCATTACTGTTGATGTTGAGATTGGTGTTTTGTGGGTACTATTTAATAAAGCTGCCAGTTGAGGACCTGTGAGGGGTCTGTTTCTCAAACTAGACACTCTAATGTAGTTGTCCTCTTGCTCAGTTGTGCACCGGGGCCTCCCACTCCTCTTTCTATTCTGATTCTCTTTCTGCGCTGTTCTGTGAAGGGAGTAGTACACAGCGTTGTACGAGATCTTCAATTTCTCGCATGGAATAGCCTTCATTTCTCAGAACAAGAATAGACTGACAAGTTTCAGAAGAAAGTTATTTGTTTCTGGCCATTTTGAGCCTGTAATCGAACCCACAATTGCTGATGCCCCTGATACTCAACTAGTCTCAAGAAGGCCCGTTTTATTGGTTCTTTAATCAGCACAACAGTTTTCAGCTGTGCTAACATAATTGCAAAAGGGTTTTCTAATGATCAATTAGCGTTTTAAAATGATAAACTTGGATTAGCAAACACAACGTGCCATTGGAACACAGGACTGATGGTTGCTGATAATGGGCCTCTGTACGCCTCTGTAGATATTCCATTAACAATCAGCCATTTCCAGCTACAGTGGGGAGAACAAGTATTTGATACACTGACGATTTTGCAGGTTTTCCTACTTACAAAGCATGTAGAGGTCTGTCATTTTTATCATAAGTACACTTCAACTGTGAGAGACGGCATCAAAAAAAATCCAGAAAATCACATTGTATGATTTTTAAGTAATTAATTTGCATTTTATTGCATGACATAAGTATTTGATCACCTACCAACCAGTAAGAATTCCAGCTCTCACAGACCTGTTAGTTTTTCTTTAAGAAGC